CCCCCCCCGAATGTAAAGAATTTCCTATACTGATAACTCTAGAGTGGCATTATCTTCCTCTTGGAAGCTTTTGTAAACTAAAATGGTGCCATTTGCCTAGGTTACTCCCTTAATACCACAGCAGTATTTTCCATTCTATTTAGAATTTCTCTTAATTCCAGCTTGACCTCTGAGTGTATAGAGATTCAGCAGGTGGTTCATCTTAGAAAACAATACAAACAAAAAACAAGTAGAACTTGCTTGCCTAGGAGGCCAGTGGACAGTGATAAGATATCAAATGGAAGATGTGAGTCTAGTAATTGGGATCCTTTTTCACACTTCTTATAGAAAAGCTGCTTGAGTGGCTTCTGTATTATAGTTCGATCTAGATACCCTCACTGAAAATCCACCTAGCTGCACTTTGAGCTCTATATAAAGGTCAGTTAATTTTTCCCATTGTCCAGTTTTCTAGGGATTTGGAATATATAAAACTCTAAGTTGAAAACATATTCTTAACTAAATTGATAAATGTCTGTCTGGAGACCAATTTTAAAGATAAAATAATTTACATAGATTTATTTTCAGGGAAGTTTGTTTACTGACTCAAACTTTGTTATAATGCACATTCTGCAAAGATGAAAATTCTTCCTGCATAATGGAGGATGTCTTTTTTATTGATAAAGAACTGAATGAAATAGGAAGAAAGAAGTATTTGAAGTATATTTCTTTCTAAATTATTATAAAATTATTAGTCTGCTTGCAAAATGATGAGTCAAGGGGCGCCTGGGTGGCTCAGTCGGTTAAGCCTCCGACTTTGGCTCAGGTCATGATCTCGCAGTTTGTGAGTATGAGCCCCGTGTCGGGCTCTGTGCTGACAGCTCAGAGCCTGGAGCTTGTTTCAGATCCTGTGTGTCCCTCTCTCTGCCCCTCCCCCACTTGTACCTTGTCTCTCTCTCAAAAATAAACATTAAAAAAAAATACTTTAATAAAAAAAAAAAAGCAAAATGATGACTCAAAAATTTTTAAGTAGATACTAATTTAGTGGTTGTGATCATTCCCCCAAATTTTCTTTTTAGTTTTATTTATTTGATAAAGTTCAGGAGCATTGTTGTTTCTAGTATTAATGTTAAAAAGTTTTTTTTAATGAAAGCTAGAATTATGTAAATCTGATGCCTGAAAAAATGCAGTTTTACAGTTATTTTGGGAATAGATATTTCAGCATGGAAATATATTCCATTTCAACATTAGTGTCAATAATAAAGTAACTCTTGGAAGATACATGTTTGTGGGACACCTGGCTTGAGACTCAGTTGGAAGAATATGCGATTCTTTAAAATGTTTTTTTTTTAATGTTTATTTATTTTTGACAGAGACAGAGCATGAGCAGGGGAGGGGCAGAGAGGGAGGGAGACACAGAATCTGAAGCAGGCTCCAGGCTGTGAGCTGTCAGCACAGAGCCTGACACGGGGCTTGAACTCACAGACCGTGAGATCATGACCTTAGCCAAAGTCGGATGCTCAACTGACTGAGCCACCCAGGTGCTCCACAGAGTATGTGATTCTTGATCTCAGGGTTGTTGAGTTCAAGCGCCATATTGGGTATAGGTTACTAAAATATATATCCAACAAAAAAAGATACAACTTGGTGATTAGCAATGATTATTTAGATATGTAAATATAAAATGGGAATATCCATTAAATTTGTGTAACAGAGACATACTCTACTGTCTTCTCCCTATTAATTCTACATTAGCTTTTTGATAAAGAGATAACACTTAAGTCTGTTTCATTTAGAAACTGCTTTGTTGAAACATAACCTTAACAATCCTATATTAAAACTTTTAGAAAAGCAGGAGAGTCATTTAACAGCAAATAAAATTCAGTGAACATTTATTAACTAATTTTCTTTGTGAAATGTACAGCTCCTGTGCATATTCATTAAAGAGAAAAATCTATGAAGTACAGGTCTATGAGAAAAGATGGTAGGCTGACTGATGAGTTCTGGGATGTAAACGTGGACATAGGAGAGTCAGTGGAAAGAGGGTAGTTGAGATGGTGATGAGAATGAAGAGGGAGGTAGGATTTTGGTCAGACCTTAAAGATTACTAACATTTATCTAGGGGTTCAAGAAGAGAGAGACACACATTTATTAATTTATTTATTAAGTAAATTACTAAAATGCAAGTATAAAACATAGTAGTATCTCTAGAAACTCACATTTATTTTACAAATCAACTTATAGTGAACATGTTTTAGTTTTCTGAGATGTAAATCTATCTGATTTCATGTCTAAAACCTTTATGGAATGTCTAGGAAATTGTGGTTTGTTGTGTCTCCCTTGATTATTGTTTTAGGTATATCTGGGAAGAATATGAACTAAAGTAATTTAAAGAAATCTTGAAAATCCAACTCATTGGTAAAAACATATCTGGTTGTCACACACTTTTAAATTTGTTCTTGGGCAGTCTAAAGTGTACTCCATAGCAGTGTCCTGTTCTTTGAGCTCATGGACAAGAATTATATGGTGACACTGACATGATCCACAGGATCAACTGCATTTTACACTTAGAAACCTTTTAATATTTGCTATTTCTCATAAATTTGATGCTTTTTGCTTCGAACCACATCGTCATCTCTGTGATGGTATCTGTCTTCACATGTATTCTTTTCTGATTATCTTTTTCTTTTAACATTTTTGGATTTGTATGTGGTATTACGTATTTTCTTTAAAAGCTTGTAACCGTCCTTGTCTTTTTAATATTAATACATTTTTATGTGTCTCATTTTGCACCTCTCTCTTCGTTGTATAAAATGCTGCGTCTGGTATTTAGTTCATATCCACTCATAATTGATTTTTTTATTAATCTTTTCAAGTCTTCTATTTTGCTGTTTTTAACATTATATGTGGTTTAAATTAATTTTGTAGTATAGCAAAGTTATTTTATCTTTGGAGATCTATATATGTATATATACATGTGTATCTTTGTGTGTGTGTGTGTGTGTGTATACACATATGTCTCTAAAGATAAAATGTATCTTCCAATTCTGTTAGTAGGGAAAACTGTGGAAAAAATCAAGTGGAAGGTTAAATAAGATCTGTTTTGAGAAATGTTTGCTAGCTGTCCCCAAAGTACCCATTCCTCCAGTATATTAAAGAATAGTTTAAAAGTGTAGGATTTAAGTATTCAGGGCAATAAAAGGGCCTACTGATTATACAGAACACTTTTATATTGAAAAAACTCATTATACCATGCTAAAATCTGTGTTAAAATACATTATATAATGTCATTTTATTTTCAGCTTTATTGGTAAAATTTCCCAAGTAGTAGGAATATTTTGTAGCATTGTTTATAAAAATTATGAATAAGCCTTTCCTGTTGTAGCAATAATCCCACATGTAAAATCAGCTCCTAGTCTTTTGTTTGTTTCTGCTTTTACCTGCTGTGAATATGTTTTTTGATCTAACTTCATCTGATTGTTATAAAAGCAGAATGTAAGTGTTTTGAGGATAAAAATTCTTAAAATTTACTTGAAGTCAGTACTTTATATCAGTTTTCTCAATTGCTCTTTTAAAAGTAATGCTCTTTTAAAAAAATGGTAGACTTTTATTCTTTCCTTACTTGTAGTGACTTCTTGAGTATATGTATGCAACACTGGAATCTCTGATTCAGGTTTTTCTGACCTGTAAACCAATTCTTGATTTTCTAAAATAATGTGACTATTATAATCATATTTGCTATTAATATATTTGGGTTATATGCTTGGGAAGAACGCAAATGGATAATCCTTGCTAATAGGGTTTTTGTGTATTTTCAAGATTTGTATTTTTTATAAGACAGATTATGTCAATATTAGTTATTTTTATTTTTAACAGCATTGGGGACATCATAGATCACTATCGAAAAGAACAAATTGTTGAAGGGTATTATCTTAAGGAACCTGTACCAATGCAGGTCAGTGTTGTTTTTCTTTTTGCAATAATAAGCATTTTATTTTAAAATGCATTTTTGGTAGTATGTTTTATGCACACATTCATGCATTTAAAATTGGGTAAAATTTAAAACTGCCATTATTCTGATTGTTTCAGAAAGTAAATTGTAAGAGAATCACTTAGTTTTTATTTATGTTGTTTCTAGCCTTGGTGCCTTTTTGAGAATAGAAGGAGTGCTGGGGCAGAAACCAAGTTTCAGTGGGTCAAGGAGTGAGTTTGTTGGAGGCAAAAGTGGAGACAGCAAAGATAAATCACAGCCGGGCTTACCTAGGTGAGCTTGGTAAATAAAATAAAAATGATGTCTAGAAGAAGATACAGGGCTAAGAGAGGTTTAAACTTTTTATTTCATTGTTTATTTGCCTATAGGCTTACGGGGAGAGAGTTTTGAGCACATGTGTATGCTCTGGGTAAAGCCACTAGTAAAGAGGAGAGTGGGTGAGATGTATTGGCAGAACCTGATGTACAAGGTCTTAGGGAAGGCAAGAGTGGTTCACATCTTCCACATAAGAAGAAAGATTGGTCTTGAACAAGAGGGCCTGTTGAATATTAGCTGCTTAGTGCATAGGGTGATTGCTTAGTCTGTTTATTTTTTACACTTCCTGGAGAGTGTTGGGGAAAGCTTGTGGCAGAGGTTAGGAACAGGTATTTCGAAAGAGTGATTAAGAATTTTCCTGTGTGGAAAATGGAGGCACTGATACTTTAAGGATATAAAGAAGGATTGTAAGAATTTTCAGTTACCCAAATAAACTTCCACAGTGTTTGGTTGTGTCTCTAGCTTCTCAATTTTCCCTCCTCCTAACACGTTAGTTTCAGATGGCTATACCTGCTAGTCATTACAGTTGCTGAGATGCGGTCATTATCTGATGCTTAATATTAATTCAAGAATCATCATCATCTTGTCACACTTAATATAGCTTCATTCCTTGTAGAATGCATGGTCCACGAGAGCAGGGATGTCGGGTTGTAGTTCCAGTGCCTAGAATAGTACCTGGCATGAGGTATTCAGTCATTGTTACTGAATGACTATGTGCTCCCCAGTTGGAAGACCACTCGCTTCACCCCCTCTGTATTATCACTGATGTCTCTTAATCTCATTGTGCTTGCTGCTGTCTTCATGTCAGCCCCTTCCTATAGGCCTGTGTAAACAGTTCTAGTTGAAGATCCACCTCCAGTTTCACTTCCTTCTTGACACCTGCCTAATTACTGCAGTCAGCACTGATGTCCTGCTTTCTCTGGCAGTTCTGGCAGACATGGGCTGTTCACTGTGCTTAACGAACATTAACACTAACTTTTTTTGTTTGTTTATTTTAAATAACATAGTATGGTACATGTTTTCTAGAAGCACTGCTCAAGGTCTTTTTTATTAGGGGTCAGAGGTGCCTTTACCTGCAGATGACAGATTCTGCCACTGCATCCCATTGCTATGTCCTGAATTCTGATTCACATTGGACGTTAGATTAATGATGGCTTTAATTTGTTTTAGAGGTCTACAGATTTTACTGTGTTGGCCTACAGATTAAGTCAGACTTTTCCCATCTTGAAATTGTGCTTAGGATTTATTGAATTTTTTTAGAAAAAATTACTTTTTAGAATAAAAAAGCAGTAAGTTTGGCATCTAGTCAAACATCTAGACATGTAGACATCTAAATAAATTTAGAATAAATTTGACATGTAGTAAATGTTTTTACCTAAGTTATAAGGTTGTTTTAAGAAATTACTTCATGTATACAGTCTGCCTCATGCTTGGGTTGCTGTTTAATTACTGAACAAACCCCAAATTGTTGTCCTTTGCAAAAGTGCCAATCAATGCATCGGATACTTCAGAAATAACCAGTGCTACTTACAAGGCAGTTTGATTACTACATAACAATGATTAAATGCTATTTGAAGTCTATTTTGGGGAGCCTGGAATAAAAGTAAGTTACTGTAGAAGTTTGGGAATCTTGATACTTAACTATCCTTCCCAGCAGGATTCTATAAGAGAACAGAAAGGGTACTAATCTTTTATTATTGAAAAACTGATTAGCTCCCTCTCCCTAAGGGGACTCTGCATACCCTCACCCAGAGTAAGATGCTGGAACAGAAAAGAGTAGAATCCTAGCTAAGTCTGCTTACTTTGTGGAGCTAACACTTCTCAAGACAGACACTAGAAGAGAAGGAGTCTTTTGAGACAATGCAGCCCACAAGAAAATAGCCAACATTTTTTAAGCACTATGTTTTAGATACCGTTCTTAAATGTATTAATTTTTTCAACAACTTGATGATGTTGCTACTGTAAGACAGGGAAATTCAGACTGGAGAAGATAAGTAAATTATTTAGGGCGTCAAGTTATTCTTGACTCTTCTTTCTCTCCTATGCTTTGTATCCATACTGTCAGGAACACCATGCTGCCTCTGCCTTCCAAATAAGTCTAGAACATGACCACCATCAGAATCTGACTTTCATCTCCCTGTTTCCACTTTCACCCCTTAACACTGAATAATTGTCAGAGGGATCCACTTAAATTGTGAGTCAAATCATTTCACTCCTCTCTTTAATATTTGCATATGTTCTACATTTCATTTAGAGTGAAAGCTAAAGTCCTTACAGTGGCCTGTCAGACTCTTAGATGGTCTCTCTTTGGTTCTCTGAACCTGTCTCTTTCTGCGATCCTTCTCTCTCACTTGTGTTTGTTTACTCATGCTGGCTTCTCTGCTATTTTTTAGAATATGCCACGCTCTTTCCTGTATTAGGATCTTTACTTCAGCTGTTTACTCTGCTCACAATGTTTTTTTAATCAAATATCCACTTGCCTCATTCTCTTATTTCTTTCAGGTTTTGCTCAGAAGTTACTTCACAGTGAGACTTGCCTACACACCTTATTTAATACTGCTACTCGCCCTTACCATGTAAAGCACTTAACAAAAGCACTTAACATTTATTAACTTATGATTTATTTGTTATGTTTATTATCTTTCCTCATTAGAATATAAGTTCTCTGAGGATAAGGATCTTTGGTTTGTTCACTGATGTATCTCAAAAACTAGAGCAGTACCTGGCACTCCACACACATTTATTGAATTAAATGTGACGGAGCATTTAAGACTTCTCCAGAAGTGTGTAGAGAGTAGGCCCTGAAGCTTTCCCTCTTGTCATCTAGTGTTTTATTGGAACTTGGAAAGTGAATTTGTGTTCTTGGTCATAGTGTCATCTAATTTATTAGAATCCTTTGGGAATTGTAAATTAGTATATCAGTCCCTGCCGTAATACAATTTAGAAAAAACCTGTAGAGATTGTCTGAAGTCATATGTTTAAATCTTAATATTAGTTATACATCGTAAATAACTGACTACAACAGTGCCCCGTTCCATAGCCAATACTAAATATTATCATTATTGAAATAAAAGACTGATAAGTACAAATCTATATAACTAGGAACGTAGTCATTACTCTTTATCATCTGGGTCCAGTGTATCCTTTTAAATTTTTAATTCTGAAGTCATTTTATGAATAATTCTTACAAGTGGGAATAAAGGTATAGTCCAAAAAAAGTTACTAGAAAATTCATTAAGAATTTAAACATAGCAAACTCGAATATTTTTCTGAATTTCCTTGGTTATAAAGGCTTACATACTTGAAATAGGCAGCTAACTTAACCTACTGTCATGCGTGGACCTGGATATTTCCATCTTGTAAATCCTAATTCCAGATTTCATCTCTCATCAATTAGAGATGCAGTACATCTCTAATCAACTCTTGCCTATAATTACTCTGATTCTTCTTCCCACACTTTCACGGTCAGAATCTGATACTGATTCCAGATGTAAATATGTCTCTATGGGTTTTAGTTTGTGATTCTTGCTGGTTTGTCATGTACTTGAATGATCAAATGGAATATACTTTAAAAACTTTCGGATGGCTTATAGTTTTGTTGGTAGACTACAGTGTTCTCGACTCCATAAAGGTAAAATATTTTCCTGTTTAGATTTATAAACATCAATTGCAATGATAAATATGGTGAGTTTAAAAAATTCTACAGTTACCTTTGGTTACAAAGTACCTTTTGTGTGCTTAAAATTACCTTAAGTAAATCTTGGTGCACAAACATAAACATTTAAAAAGCCCTTATTTCTTAAGATCAAAACAGAGCAATCTAGATTCTTGTCACAAAATATTGCATGATGACATCCTTCCTACTAAATGATTGACTAGATAAAAACACCATATTTCCTTTTTTTCTCTCTTAGAAATGTATGATTTACTCAGTGTTTCTTGAGTTTGATAAAGTTCACCGAGGATACTATCATCTTCTCAAAAATCAATTTTATCATCACAGTAGATCCCAAAGTGCTGCTGCCTCTTGGCATTCATCTTAATCTTTCAATAATTGTCAGACATCTTCTCATGTCAGGTTTTCCTCTTTGCTAATATGAGCAGAATATTAGGAGTTCTGGGCCATGTTCAGTGAAAGCTAATATAAAGATAACCTAGATGGTCTTACATACTTTTTTGAAAGATGCTGCAACACTTGGCAGCACAGTCAAAAGACAACAACAAAGGGTGAGGCAACAGAGATGATTGATTTCACTCTTGCATCATCCTCTAAGCCAAGCGGTTGGCAAACTGTTTTGTAAAGGGCCAGATTATAAATATTTTAGGTTTTGCAGGCCATTCAGTCTCCATCTCAACTGCTGAACTATGCCTTTGTAGTGTGAAAGCAGCTACAGACAAAACATAAAGGAATGAGCATGGCTATGTTTTGATAAAACTTCATGTCCAGAAACAGGCAGTGGGTTGGATTTGGCACAGGGGCCATGGTTTGCCAACCCCTACTCTTTAGCATACTTGGGAGTTAATTGCTGAAAAATGATGAAATGGTTTATAAGATGATGAGATAGCAGAATGTTTCAAGATATGGGAAGAATAAGATTTGTGAAAATCTCATATCTTAGATTTCTAAAAAGATCATATGGACCCATAAGGTCTCTTAGAAAAAAAGTCATAAAATCTTAAGCCTAGCAAATACTAAGAAGTGCTCAACAAAGAAACTAAAAACTGAAATTGAGTCCAGTGGGTCCCAGTGGTAATATTGATGATTGACTTATTTTGGAAAGATCGTTATAAAGATACTATATTCTTCCTGACATCAGAATTAATTTTGTTATTTGGGAGGATTTAGCAGTTAAGACACATGCATGCATTCCTGTAAGTCAAAGAGTTATGTAAAACCACGAAATAAAAGTTACAAGGTTATGGGAAAGTGACGTTAGGGGTATAACACTCAAAAACCTCATCAGTAACACATACAGATGAGAACGTAATAAAATGTAACACAGTTTTTATATGTGCTAAATGGTTCCAAGATATTTACTACAATAAATATGGCACTTTACCTTGAAAAAGACATGAGGTTTACTTGCGTAAGAGGCCATCAGAAGGGTTGTGAATACTGTAAAGTGGTAGGAGAACTATTTGAAATCAGATGGCGTAATATCAGGTGTGGATACATGGGTAAGGCATATAGCGCTTGGCGAACTGAGAGGGCTGTTAGTACTTGAGGTGTGTTTTGTATACTCCCATGCATCTCATTTCAGCTGTGTGCAGTTTTCTGCATTCGCCTAGTGATTCTCGCAGATGTAACTGCATCAGCAGCCATGAATTTGGTTCTGCTTAAATTGGTTCCTAACTTAGCAGTTCTGTTGGGACAAAGTCATGTTTTCAAAACAGCGTTATTTGCTGTAACACAACAGAACTGTATTTTTGAAAATTTCTTTGAAAGGCAAAGGATCTCTGAATATAGGTGTTAGTGTTATTTTAAATTTTAGCATTAAAACCTTTTTTAAATGTCTAGATAGACAAGCAGCCTGGCTTTTAATTAGTAATCAAGTAGGTTTTGCTTAATTTCCATCAAGAATTCATGAAATAATTTTTAATATTTTTAAAAATTCAGGATCAAGAACAAGTACTCAGTGATACAGTGGATGGCAAGGAAATCTATAATACGATTCGTCGAAAAACAAAGGATGCCTTTTATAAAAATATTGTTAAAAAAGGTTATCTTCTGAAAAAGGGTAAGTGTTAACTTGAAGACTAAAGATTAAATTTCAGTATTTTACCATTAATATTTAGTAGAAACATTGCAAATATTGAGCATAAAAATTCCCATAGAGATTTGTATTTAATAAGTTGTTTTGACACGAATTATTATTTAGTAATTGACCATTGTTTAAAGCTTGTATGTAAGGATCCTTCAAAATGTAGAGTTTAGGTGTATTATGTCAACATGCCCCAGCAGAGTTTCATGAAATGGGCTTCCATATTTCCAAGTGTATCTTTTAAATCTTAAAGTCAGTTCCAGTGCAAGGTGTTGGATTCTTTGCCACCTCTCCACCCCATACTTCATTATTATTTTTCTTTTTTAAGAGAAACTTTTTTGATACTTGTCACACTCATTGTTTCCCTTTTTTTTTTTAATTTTAAGTTTATTTAGTTATTTTGAGAGAGAGACAGAGCATAGGCACATGAGCTGGGGAGGGCAGAGAGAATCCCAAGCAGAGCCTGACATGGGGCTCAAAGTCATGACCCATGAGATTGTGATATGAGCAGAAATCAAGAGTCAGATGCTTAACTGACTGAGCCACCTGAGTGCCCCAAACACATTCACTGTTTTGATGTTTCTGTTTTATAGATTTGCCTCATTTTGACATAAAGAAATGTCACAGGGTTGGTTGTTAGGGGTGTGGTAGAAGAGTTTTTTTTCTTATGACTAGAAAAAAATTACACCTAAGCAAGAGTTTTAAAGATTTTATCTTAATGAAATCTCCAGAGATGTAGTTCAGGTAATTTTGTCATTTACAAGGCATTTTTCTACAGATAAATAGAGGCATTTTTTTCATTTTATAAGGATTGGTGTGTTATTGAAGCTTTGGAATAAAAATGGAAACATGATTTTTATATTTAGCAATAATGATTTTTATGACTTAATATATATATCACTTAATAGTTTATTATTTGGCTAATGGGAAGCATTTTTTTTTTTTAATAGGCAAAGGAAAACGGTGGAAGAATTTATATTTTATCTTAGAGGGCAGTGATGCCCAACTTATTTATTTTGAAAGTGAAAAACGAGCTACAAAACCAAAAGGATTAATAGATCTCAGCGTGTGTTCTGTCTATGTTGTTCATGATAGTCTCTTTGGCAGGTAAGAAATTGGTTTCCTATTTCTTTTTAGAATTGTTTTAATAATAAAACAGGTGGATGTGTTCAGATCATTTTTCAAAACCTAGCCAACTGATTCTGTGAGTCCTAAAATCATCTTAAAATGTCAGATTTACTTTGTAGGGTAATTTCTGTCTTCCATATTTATTTTAGACTAACCTGTGCCTGAAATTCTACTCTTGTATTACATAGAAATCTTTGGAATGACACTTCCTTTAGTAAAACAGAACCTGCATAAGGCATGTTTCCTCCCTGCCCCACCACCAGTCTTTTGAGTGACTGACTTGGAGTCTTGTCCTCTTTCCTATTGAACTCTGAACTCACTGCATCTGATAGTCCTAAATACACTCAGTTGTACTATTAGCTTGATAGGCCTGTTCCTAAAAAATGTGATATTAAGGAACAATTTTAATATAAAAATAATTGCTTCCTAGGAAACCGGAGAGTACTTCAGATTTGGAGTTGAAACATTTTTTTTTATATTAATTTCAGAGCTTTTCAAAAAACAAATATAAATGTATAAGCTAAAGGTGTATCCTGGACATCAAGGCAAATCCAGCTCTTGATTACGTCTAGTTTTTTGATTAGGAACCCTGGCCTTTCTTTACCTTTCCCCATCAGTATTACTAATAATCCATTCTGGAGCCTTTTTAGATGTATGTATCATTTTCATTACTTACTGTTACTAATAAAACACAAAGCCGTTAAAACAAATGGTTTTTACAACTTTTTTTCTGCTGGAGGATGGCATTTCTAGTAAGCAAGTCTGGCTTTATCTTATTTAAGTTGAGAAAAGTTCATGTAGAGCATATGGCTTTGTCATTTCTTCTTTCCAAACTGGGTTTAGGAATAGTGTTATTGTGTAATTTTAATTATGTTATTGTGTGATTTTAATTATAGACAAATTAATAATGAAAAATTTAGTCATTTTTTTTAAATGGTCAAGGTTTGAGAAATGCTGACTCGAACAGATAGTTTATCTTTATAACAGGGCTTTTTGGAGCCTTAGCCCAAATGTGGGAGGAGTTATCAAAGTCCAAAGGATTCATGAAAATACTTCATTTTTTTTTAATTCCTAATATTTCATAAAAACAGCTATTGCAAAAAAACAAACAGTAATCTTTTGGGTAAGATAGGATTTCCTAAGATTCCCCCCCCCCCCTTAACAGTATGGAATCTTGGCCTTCAGGTGTGGTTAGATCAGACTTCTGGCTCTTTTTCTGTTCAGCTTTCCCCTCTGCTTGCCTTTGTGTGTGCTGAATTCTTTGTCACAAAACATGGTAGCATAGTGGCATATGGTACCCAGACAAAGGAGAAGCAAGCATTCTCTCCAGTAATGATTGAAAATCCTGAGGATGCTCTACTGAGCCACCTCTCAATCAGTCTGGAGTGGGATTACCTTCATAAACAGGGGCCATCGGGTGCCCAAGTCCTGTTGCTGAAGATGATCACATCCAAATAGTGAGGCTGCTATGTATTCTCTGTGGGAGAGGGAAATGCATGTTGGGGAGACAGTCACACTATTCACTACCAGTCACTGTTCCCTATTAGTGCTGTGAATAGTTCCCAGAGGGAAGAGATTTTGAGGACAAGCTTATTGAAATAAGTAATATGAAATAGGTGGCTCTTAAGCCGAATCTTAGAAGATGGGTATAAATTCATTTAGACAGTTAGATCAGAGCTTCCCAACTAGCGTGCTGCAAATTGGTTGAGATACTGGTGGTTATAAAATGTTACCGTAATAAAAATATTAAATGTTTTGTATCTCAAAATCTATACAACTTGAAATTATGACTTCTTTTATAAACTGTTTGAACTCATTATTTTATTTTGCCAAAAGAACTGGCACATAACACTTGTGGACCGAAAAGCTCTCTGCAGTGGCACACACTTGGATACTTTCCTCTGAGTTTTTTCTTAAATCACCCATTTACTCTGAATGTTATTTTATTTGTTTTTTTCTTAATTTTTTTAACACTTATTCATTTTTGAGACAGAGACAGAGCATGAGGTGGGGAGGGGCAGAGAGAGAGAGGGGAAGAGACAGAATCTGAAGCAGGCTCCAGGATCTGAACTGTTAGCACAGAGCCCGACGCGGGGCTCGAACTCACGGACCATGAGATAGTGACCTGAGCCGAAGTCAGATGCTTAACCACCTGAGCCACCCAGCGCCCCTTATTTTATTCGTTTTTTTGTTGTTGTTGATCATCATTGAAGTTACTTTTTGTGTCAGTGGTAAAACTTAGTTTCATTTTGTATTTTACATTTATACTTTTTTTCTGTTAACACAGAAGTTAACCTTGCATTTACTGTAAAATATATAAGGGAGTTTAAAAAAAAATAACGAGATATTTTTTTCATTGTTTTTTATGATTGGCTTTAATGTATAGACAGTTATTTTCCCACCATAAAGGGCATTTTGGTGATTACAGCTGGAAAGTCATTAAATTCACAAGATAAAAACAGCAGCCTTAATTTTAAAAAAATGCAGCCTATTAGGCCTCTTAAGAAATGTATTGGGGTCAGAGGCGCCTGGGTGACTCATTTGGTTAAGTGTCCAACTCATTTTCAGCTCAGGTCATGATCTCACAGTTCATGAGTTCCAGCCCCACGTCAGGCTTTGTGCTGACAGCATGTTCTGCGGATTCCTCTCTCTCTCTCTGCCCCTCCTCCACTTGTGTGCATGCTCTCTCTCTCTCTCTCTCTCAAAATAAATAAACTTTAAAAAATGTATTGGGGGCACCGTTGGCGCCCAGTCGGTTAGCGTCCATTCCAGCCAGGTCACAATCCTGATCCCATGATTCCGGGCCAGCGATCGGCTGCAGGCTGATGGCTCCAGAGCCTGGAGCCTCATTTCGATTCTGTCCCTCTCTCTCTGCCCCTCCCCCGTTCATGCTCTGTCTCTCTCGGTCCCAAAAATAAATAAAAGACGTTGAAATTTAAAAAAAAAAATGTATTGGGATAACTAAAGCCAATACAGCTTCTCATCCTCAGCCTAAATATTTTGCATTTACTACTAAATAAAAGCTTTCCCCCCTCTATTTCCCCTCCCAATCCCCTCCCCTCCATAGATCTGTTCCTATGGTAACATTTTATTTGGGAAGTTTTCTGGGAACTCTTGCAATTAATAGCTAAAGCTAAAGCCAGAATGCTTCACACAGAGTTGGAGTATTTGCTTGTTGAATCAGTGTGCATGGAAATTGGCAATTTTATGTTTGAAGCCAAAAAGCAAAAGAACTAGAAGAGATACCATTTTCAAATAGTATTTGATTGTGTTCAGATAGTATTATCAGTAAATGCATTGGTGGGTGTATCAAATAATAGAGGCTGTATACAGATCCAGAGGTGACATTTTCACTACACACTGATGAATCTGCAAACATTAGAGAAATACTTGGAAGTACATTGTTGGCTACTCAAAGGATTACCAAAGAAATTGCTGAGGATAAAGTATTTAAAACAGTAAATTAATTTATATCTTCTGCAAGAAGATCTTGCAGAAATAGTATTTAAGTTTATGATCGGTGATGAAGCTTCATGATAGGAACATTTAAAGATTTTTACATCAAAAACTCATTCTGGAAAATAAGCAATACAGAGAGGCTCTTATAGTAAAAGTCTGTCTTTGGACCTGAATTCCACGCTAAATATTATAAAATGGAGTCGTATAAAATCCAAGCTGCTTCAGCTGCACATGTTTTCAGCTTTATGGGAGGAAAGAGGATCAGAATACCACTCTGCTGTTTGAGACCAGAGTCTGTAAGTCATCCAGAAGAAGAGTTTTGCTGAAGTGTTATGATCTATGAGAAAAATCTTCTTGGTGAATGATTCCCACTTTACAGATTAGTTGAAGAATGGATAAACTTCCTCAGAATTAGAAGTAGAACACAAAAGTATATTAATATGTTCTCATACCTTATGGATTCAAAGCAGAAATTCAACTTTGGAAAAATGAGGTTAAAAATGACTCCCTATTGTTATGTATAATTTCAGTAATAACCTTAAAGAATTATTAAGACAAAGAAAGCTACATCTGTGTAAATTTGGGGAAAAGCTGTACCATTATTTTGACGTACTTTCTATGAACAGGCGCAAGTGGACTGAAAACCAGTTTGCAGTTATCAAAAAGAAAGGTTAACATTACACTTGCCAATTAAAGGAATGACTGCTAGAGTTAAGGAAAGACTATCTTTTAATGCAATTTAAAGAGATTGAATTATTCCTGTTACGGTTAATATTAAGAAAGGAGTTTCAGGTAGTAGAAGAGCAGTAAATACACATTTTCCATTTGCTGCAAGATCACAGCTTGCTTCTTGGAGAAGGTGGCTTTTAAGAATTTGAAGATGTTGTATTTAATGAGACCAAGTCTAAACGTGGTATGAAAAAGTTATGTTCATGGGAACTTAGGTACATCTTTTATTTTAAAGAACTGAGTTTTTTTTTAAATTTTTTTTAATGTTTGTTTATTTTTGAGAGACAGAGATAGAGCATGAGCAGGGGAGGGGCAGAGAGAGAGAGGGAGACACAGAATCTGAAGCAGGCTCCAGGCTCTGAGCCGTCAGCACAGAACCCTACATGGGGCTCGAATTCACGAACTGTGAGATCATGACCTGAGCCAATGTCAGACACTTAACCGACTGAGCCACCCAGGTGCCCCTGAGTTTTTTTCAAAGTATGCCAGCTTACCATCATCAACTTTATTTTGGGGGGCCTTACTGTGAAATAGTTGGGTAGCACCAAGAAATAATGGATGCCAAGAAAAACATCAGCAATATCAAGGAAATGAACAGACACTTCTACCAGATAGTAGGACTAGTGAAAAAGAGGTTGATACCAGATTTTGTATCCTGGAATGCAAATGTGATAGTACAAAAGGGGAAATTGTGGATGAATGCAGCAATTTTTTTCTTTAAAATACATGGCTAACACTGAACGTTTCTTGCTTTGGGTATGGCTAGAAGCCTGTACACTGACCTGTGGCTTGTGCGTGGAATGGAATGTGAAAGTTAATGACAGCCCCTGTAGTAGAGGTGAACTGTGCATGTTTTCCTAAACTGCTTTAGCTGCACAGCTATGTGGTTTTTCCAGATTATTTTCAATATTAAGAGGTCTCTAAGCATTCTATTTCTTTATATTAAACTTCTCACTTTCAAATGGTTTTGCTTTAAATATAATCATTCCAGCAGGACAAGTTGAAAAACATTTCAGTGACTGAGTTATTGTAGTGAATATTTATGTGGGAATGTTTTATACTTTTTATCTTTTCATAGGCTTAATCTTTCTTTGTGGCAGTATTTACTGTTTATCTTCATTTAGGAGCAATGCTTTTACTGGATATTAAATTTTAAGTTGACATTTTTTTCAGTATTTTAAAGATATTTTTCTGCCTTCCAGCATTTTCTTCTGTTTCTGATTCTGATTGTCTCTTAGAAATAATCGCTTTTTTTTTTTTTTCTCTTTGAGGTGTACTATATTTTATCTTTTTCTGGTGGCTTTGAGCTTTTTCTTTAGATTTTTAGTAGCTAAACAATGTAATGTGCCTCCGGTAATTAAAAACAAAAAAACACTTTACCATAATGTTAGCAGAGCTTCTTCAGTTTGACACTGATGTCTTTTGCCAGTTTCAGAAAATTCTTGGTTATAATCTCTTTAAACAGTTCTTCCGCCACATTCTTGTGCATCTGCTCTGTGTGATTCATGTTACATGTTACATCTTTATGTCCCATGTGTCTATGACATAGTTTTCCACGTTTTTCATATCATTTTCCTTTATGTGCCTCAGGCTGGGTATTCTTACTTGACTTTCAATTCACTAATCTGTTCTTCTGTAATTGAATGCATTTCTTGAGGTCTTAATTTTATTAATTACATTTTTCAATTTAGAATTTCCATTTGATTCTTTTATGGATGTAGTTATCCGGCAAAATTGTCTATTTTGTTACCTGTTTTCTTATACCTTTTTATTACAGCTATTTGAAAGTTGTATCAAACAGCATCTGGATTATATGTAGGTCTTTCCACTTTGGTTTTTTTTGTTTTGTTTTTTGGTTTTTGTTTTTGTTTTCGTTTTTTGGCTTTTCAGTCATTTGATCATGATTCCTGGGATGTCTACTTATGTTTGACTAAATGGTGGACAATTCTGTATGAAAAACTGTAGAAGCTATGGATAATGTTATTGCCTCCAGAAAGGATTGTTCTTCTGCCAGATGAGTCCCCTCAGGGATCAATTGGAGGTATAATGGATGTATTAGTGAAGGCCGTTCTATTTCTGGTTTACCCTTATTCTCAAGGCATGGCCCTGTAGGCGTCTTATCTCAAAGCCTTTTCTTTTAAAGGCCCCAAAGTCATAGTCATTTGTCTCCTAGCAATATGAAACTGTTCAATGTGCTGGTTTGGCTTTTGAGCCTCTCAGATGCGGCTTTCTGCTTAGCGTTTCAGCTTCTTGCCCTACACAGTTAGAAACTGGCACCACCTTGAAAGGAAAAGCTGTGGAGAAAGGCAGGCTCATCTCACTGTGATCTTGGCCTCTCAAGTCTTAGCTGCTTTCGTTGTTCTCTAGTGATTTCAAACGTTGTTTTTTGTTTTGTTTATAATTTATGAAGCCAGGAAGGTCAGACTGATTCAAGATGCTTTTGGATCCTGAAGTTTCTAATTGGTATTTTCTATTCTTTTATAGCCTTCTCAAAACAAGAAAGGATGGTTTTTATCTTTAATAAATGTGTAAGCTTGTACTTGGGGTATTTTGCTCTGGCCTCCTAACATTAAAAGATATAATCTTTGGTGAAGGCAACTAGAAATAACATTTATTGAGTTTCAAACACATGAAGGTCCTTAAAAAACATTTTATGATCATTTTCAAGTCTAGTTGGAAAGCCAGTCCATCTTCAAAAAAGATACAAAGTACTATCTAATGTACTTCCCTGTCAAATGAATGCTAGTAATGGTGTGTGCTATTGGAGGACAAGAACTAACATATACTGTGTATCGCCATTGGGTTACTTAATCATCAGAACAAGTATATGTGTGAGCAGATGATGTTTCCATTTTAACAGATGAGGATAGATGGTCAGTTGTAAAAAAAATTTTTTTTAAATACATAAAAATAGATTTTAAAAAATTACCCACAATCCATTGAGAGATAACCATTAAGAACATTTTTGGTCTAAGAACATGTCTAGTCTTTCCAGCACATCTAAATGTATATTATATATCATTCTGAAGTGGTGAATTTAGTAACATTTTGCTTCAAAAAATATTTAGATGGACAATTCTAGCATAAAGCATTTTGAAACTTTGAAGGATTCATAAAATTTCAGCGGTGCGGACAAAAAGTTGTCTAAAATAAATGCAGCTGGCATTTTATTTTTCCCCAGGAATGATCTGGTACAATGGAGTAGTTCTCAAAATTAAGAATTATGTTAATTGATAGACATTATATAATTATATGTTCTGATTTTTTTTTAAGTTGGTGTGTTTTAATGCTTTTAATTAAGCTTCCTAATAACTTTTCTGTTTGTATTTTAAAGGCCAAACTGTTTTCAGATAGTGGTTCAGCACTTTAGTGAAGAACATTACATTTTTTACTTTGCAGGAGAAACTCCAGAACAAGCAGAGGTAAGTTCATTGTTTTTTTCAACTACTGCAAACTTTTATTTAGCTCATGTTTTCTTTTGAACTAGAATAGAAAACTATTACATTTATGATAAAGACATAAAAAGGAATACTGAAATCTTTTTATTTCAAGGGATGAGAACTTTGATGTGTAAAAATTTTTTTGAAAGAAATGCAGAAAGCCGCAGTGAAGGGCTATTAGGAATGAAAACCTCATTTTAAATTGACCTTTAAATACTCTGTGATGTTGAGTCCAGCTGAAAATGCTCATTTAAAATCCCCTCTGCAGAAAGGTTATAGATATTCTCAGTACAACTGAAAGGTAAGCCAGTTAGTTTTGCTAACAGGCACTGTTATTCTTCACTAGTCCATTCCTAAAGATAGAAGTTCAGTCATCAAAAAGAAAAGTATTTTAGGAATTTTCTATTTTCTCCTACTCTGCATGTAATGTCTACTTTCAGCACTGGGCATTGATCCATATGCAATGCCCTTCTTAAAACTTTTATTAAATTTTAAGGCGTGTTGTGAAGACACTTTGATTTCTTTGAGCCGTAATGTTTCAGGGGCGTTTACTGGTATTTTGTACAAATATGGTGATATTTGTTCTGCTTCTAGTCTATGGAAGGAATCAGAAGGTGGTTAAGAGGTCAAAGAAAACAACTTTGTTGTAAATAGAAGATAACTTGCCAACTCTAGATATGAGGCAGAAACTCTTTAAACTGGATCCGGGCATGTGTGCCTGATTTGTAAATTATGAAACTATCTCAGACCCTAGAATAAACTTGATGAATGAGCCACATTATGTTTTATGGCTCATAATTGAATGTCATGTTTCAAATCTTTCCAAAATATTTCAAATAAATATTAACATATAGCACAGAAAAAAGCTTGTTTTGTGGGTACTATTCCTAATATTTACATGCAAAAAGTAGAGTTCAAAACATTTCGGTAACTTAGATATATATTTTTTTAATGCTAGAAATTGACTTAGCAAAGAAATTTAAACTTCATTATCCAGCCTTCCAATTATTTCACTATGATCCCTCTTTCTAAATAAAAATGTGTTATTATACTCCATGACATTTCAGTATAAATAGAACATCTTCTTTTTGTACTTATATATACACTTCATCTTCTTTATTTCTGTATACCACTTAAAGTCCAAAAATACTACTGGTATTTCCAGTTTCTGTTACTTTGGTGGCCTGTGGGATCTGTGGTTACTCTTCTATTTCTGAAGCTATGGTAATTGATTTGGTCTTAATTTGTTCTATAAAGATGTTCTCTAAACATTTACAGAGTTCAGACTGATTGAAATAGCCAACAAGCTAGAGAGAAAACTGAATAAAGCAGTAGTACAGGACTTTGTGGAAATATGTAAGCCAACGTGAAGCATTTAGACTTTTGATAAACCTAAGATGATTCTCTCCTTTCTCCAGACCACTAGATAAACATTTAAAAATAAATGGCTTCAATTTAATTGGAATATTAGCCTGAAAATTTTTTTTAATGTTCCATTTGAAAAGCTTATCAATAACCCAGATCCCCTTACACGTTTCTACCTATATCCTGGTCTAAGGTAAGATTAGAGTACTCGTCATCAAACCAGTCAAAACACGGTCAATTGGTTTGGTACTCAGCCCTCCTTTCACAAAACATGACTGCTTAATGACCATATATAATTTTAGCTTGGGACTAATTAATGATCACTCATGGTGTACTTAACATTAATTTAGGGATTCTACAGAAATACAGTTTTAAGAATTATTAGAATAGTTTTGGTCATTGTTTTAACTTTATGGGGCCACAAATGTATTAAAGTGCAACATACTGTTGAGTGTAGAAATGGCAGTCTGGAATAGGAAATAACTCTTGAATTTGGAAAAAAAAATGATCAGAAACTGAATAAAGTATAGTATATTTCTTTGAAATGCTGTCATTTTTTTGTAGGATTGGATGAAAGGTCTGCAGGCATTCTGCAGTTTACGGAAAAGTAGTCCAGGGACATCTAATAAACGCCTGCGTCAGGTGAAACTTAATTTTCTTTGATTTGAGGTTGTCACATTTTGCTTTGTTACTTTGCTCTTCATTTTTACTTCTAGCTGAACTGTTTTGGGCAACATTACAAACACTTTTGAATTCTGAAGAGAAGTTTGTCTTTCCAGGAATTTTAAAACCATGCTTCTGCTTGCTTCAGTAGTAGGAGAAATAGTTATTTATGACAATATTCTTTATATACCTAAGTGGGTACTTAGTCCATAATGCCATCTTTTGAATACATACCAAGGATTTTATTTCTTCTACTTAAAATAACAGTACCAAACCAACAACAACAAAAACCATTCTGTTGGGCACTTTCATTATTTTTTTCCTCAAAAAATGACTTTGGCCTGCTTTAAAAAGGTAGAACTAAAGGTATTTTTTGAAAAAAATCATCTGACTTTAAGCATTAATCCCAGGAAACTTTTCAGTTTTTCACTTTATAGTAATTGCTTTTGAAACCTATTACATAACTAGTATCCTGTCTTATTTGAACCTTAACATGTCATATGTGATCATTTTATAGAGTTAAGCTGGGGTTTCTCTTGCTTCCTAGGTTATGTAAAATCAACTCTATACCCTCCATATCTTTTTTTTTTTAATAGCTATCCCTAGATAGTTGGAAAAAGTTAAGTAATTTTAACATTCTTGGAGTTATGAGGAACATTTAGTAGAGTATTTGTTTTATTTATGGAAATTTCTAGTAATCTTTGTGAATTTAATATATTGCTCTATTTCAAGTGAATAAATGGTTAATATTTAGATGACTGTAAGTTATAGTTCCTGTAATCAAAAGTCTAATAACCCTTTCTCCAAGGACATTTAATTATACACATAATTGTTATATGTTCTCAAATCATAATTTAACATTTTGTAAGCTCTAAAAAATCAGACTAAGTTTTTGCATATTGTGTCTTGTGTGAAACTTTATAAAGTTACCATTTTTATCTCTTGAGCCCTTTTGCAGGTACTCTGCTGGAACTTTTACACATATTATTGCTAATCCTTACAACAACTTGCAGTGTAGACTTTATCCTAATGTTATTATAGAGGAGGTGAGGCCAACTTGTCCAATGCCACACAAGTAGTGTATGGCTAGAGGGAAAGAGGGCCTGGTATTAGAAAGCGAATGGTCTAGGTTTTGGCCAAAACTGACAAATAACTTAGTTTCTTTGGATTTGTATATTTTTCTGTAAAACGAGAAGGCATAATCAGTGTATTAAAAATATTTTCTGGGGGCGCCTTGGTGGCTCGGTCGGTTAAATGTCTAGCAGTTGGTTTTGGCTCAGGTCATGATCTCATGGTTGGTGGGTTCGAGCCCCACATCGAATCCTGTCTCCCTCTCTCTTTGCCCCTCCCCCTGTCACACTCTCTCTTAAAAAAAAAAAAAATTAAAAAATAAAAATAGTTTCTAGCTGTAGAGGTTTATAGAAATAAATCTTCCAAATGAGCTTTATTTTAACTTAGAGGATTTTGATTTGGGTGGTGACAATTGTTTACTTGCATTAATAAAAAATCCTCTGTTTCATTTTCTCTGAACCACTGTTTTTTAGTAAAAAAGATGCATTTCATTAAATTAATGCAAGAATATAATTGGAGGATTAACTTGTAAAATAAAAGTGCACTTTTTGTGAGAAGAATTATTTCAAATGCTTGAATGTTGTATTTTATATATCACACAGGAGGAAAATGTAATTACAGGTCATATTTTCTAAAGAAAGGAGAAAAATAAGTCACTTTTGGTTGGTTGGTTGTTATTTTATACTAATTGCTTTTGAAGCCTAATGCATAAGTCTTGACATCTGGGGTAATAACTTTTGTGTTTCCTTTAGGTCAGCAGTCTTGTTTTACACATTGAAGAAGCCCATAAACTCCCCGTAAAACATTTTACAAATCCATATTGTAACATCTACCTGAACAGTGTCCAGGTAGCAAAAACTCATGCAAGGGAAGGGCAAAACCCGGTATGGTCAGAAGAGTTTGTCTTTGAGTAAGTCTTATTTTATTATTACATTAAATCATTTTCTTTTATCCTGTTGCATTTTCTTTCGTGGTCCCTTCCCTTCCTCCCCCCCATCATCTTTGTATCTCAATGGTCAGAACAAGGTACCAGTCCAGGCGTTTTAATAGTACATATTTTTTTTTTTTTCCTGCTGTATTTGGTCACTTTTGATTACTGAAGTGCTGTGTCCTTGGTTTTTCACCTAGTTACTAATGTGAATTAGTGTTACTGACAACTACAAAATCATTTACTAACACACACACAGAAAATATTTACAAGGGTTTCCAGGATTTACTTGAGGTTAAAGATAGTAGGAATGATTTGCTTGTCTGCATTCCTGTCTTACAGGTAATAACATGTTTTGTATCCATTTTTAAATCCAGCATGTTCAAACTGTTTAGTAGCAGATATAAAGAACTTATTTGATACTTAGAAATAAAAGAATTAGATAGTTTGATGCCAGGATATTTTGTTAATTCTTTTTCTTTTTGCTCCTTTAGTGATCTTCCTCCTGACATTAACAGATTTGAAATAACCCTTAGTAACAAAACAAAGAAAAGCAAAGATCCTGATATCTGTAAGTTGATACAGAAATTTCTTACTGAAGTAAAACACGTTTTACATACTTTTTAAATTTATATGAAATGTAGTCTAAAATGGAGATTTACAAAAGAGCAAATGGCATAATTTAATAACATAGTTTCTTTTTGTACTTCTGAGAAGCTTTGTTGAGAAAACGTTTAAGAAAAAAAAGGCCAATATCGCTAAATTGTACCTACTGTAAACTTAAGTCCTTGTTACTAAACTCTGTATCATCTCTCTCATCTTCCTCTCCCCAGTAGATGGGAAGAACGAGAGGACAGTGAGAGCGGCCCTCTTTCTGTGGTGCTTCCACTATCCCTTCTTTCTACTGTTTAGGTTTTTCCTCTTTCCATATAGTTTGGTGTAAGTGAATAAAAGCACTCTATTAATTTTTTTTCTTTAAATTAGTCTACTATTTATTCATTTCTGATGAACCTTCTCAGTGCTTGTTCTTGGTAGCACACCTTTGCCCAGCCTCTTGCTGAAGCAGGTGGCAGTGGGATTTAACAGTTCACACCAGAGTGAATTAGGCTAATACCTTCTTAAAAGTCAGGCGTAGGGAAAGAAATGATAGGCATTAACAGATCAAAGCCTGAATTTTTCTCTGTAAAATAGTTATTCTGTAATTTCTGTACTATTTAAATGGTTAACATTTTTTTAGTGGTTTCCCATTACTTCAAACATAAAATCCAAACCCCTGGTAAACAGAGAAGAAAAGCCCTTTCCTCACTCACTCCTCCCACTGCTTTCATAGTGTATCTGTGGCATGTCCTCTCTAGGTATGCCAGCCTTCTTAATAGTTCTTAAGTAATCCATGGATTTTAAATGTCCCCGCTGTACCTTCTGTTTGAACTGTGCTCTCTTTTTCTTTTTCTCTGCCTTTCTCTTTAGCTACACTTCCACATCCTGTTACACATTAGCTTTAGGGGTTACCTGTTTGGAATGGATTTTTAACCTCCACTGGCTGAATTATGTATTATTTCTCTGTACTTCGGTAGCATTAAGCACTGTTACAGCACTTCCCACATGGAACCATAATTGATTTCTTGCCTTCTTGGCTAGACAGTGACCTCCAATGCAAGTCAGAGACCATGTCTTAATCATGTCTGTGTCCCATGTCCTTGCGCACCATAGTCTGGCACACAGTAGGCATTCAGTAAGTGAATGAAGTATATGAAGTGTCAACTCTTGGTTTTGTGTTACCACTGAAAAGTCCTTTAAAGCATCTAACACTATAGAGAAAACAAAATGTCAGGAAAATGTACTTGTATGACTAATTATAGTGTCATCTTTTTAGATGGTAATCATTTGATGTTTTTCTATCAAAGTATTTATGCGCTGCCAGTTGAGCCGGTTACAGAAAGGGCATGCCACAGATGAATGGTTTTTGCTGAGCTCCCATATACCATTAAAAGGTATTGAACCAGGATCCCTGCGTGTCCGAGCACGATATTCTATGGAAAAAATCATGCCAGAAGAAGAGTACAGTGAATTTAAAGAGGTATTAAGTTATTTACCAGTCTAATTATTTTTGATGGAATTATTAACAGAAATATTTAACATTTAAATAAAAGATCCATTAAATATAGTAATGGTATAGCTTAATGCACAGTGATAGGCACAGAAGGTTGAAAAGCCTTGTGCTAGGAAGATGTTGGTCTTAAGAGACTATAGATATGTAGGTGATAAATGCATTCTAGTTTTAACAGATGTTTTCAATAGAACAGATTTCTGAATAGAAGAACATAACACAATTCCTGTTAGTCTCATTGAGAGTTTAATGCCGCATACTTTCAACAATCTTTTCTTGATGTCCTTTTTAGCTTATACTGCAAAAGGAGCTTCATGTAGTCTATGCTTTATCACATGTATGTGGACAGGACCGAACACTACTGGCTAGCATCCTACTGAGGATTTTTCTTCATGAAAAGCTTGAATCATTGTTGTTATGTACACTAAATGACAGAGAAATAAGCATGGAAGGTAAAGTATGGACGTTTTGGTGTGATACTTTAAAATGACATCATCTTTAAAATTCTTGGGCTGGCTAACATTTGGCTGTGGGGAGCAGTTAGTATTTCAAACAAGTCTCTGTCATGGTGAACTATTAGAAGCCATAAGAAAGTGACTTTTTGTCCCTATTCATGGCACATGGTACTTGATTTTAAGAACAGTTTGGTAGACTTACCATGTTCTCTTGTTTATATTTGACTTACTAATCCATTGCACAAAAGTTGAGTGATGGTTGCATTTTATTTGTAGCAATGCAGCTGGATCCACGGTGCTTTGTAACAGCTTACATATTTGTCACAATTAACCCCTTTCCAACTAGCACTTTGGCTCAGTAACGGTGCTTGCTTCTAGGTTCCCCAATAAATTGTAGAAACTAGAACTATTTCCTCCTAATCATAGAATATGTAAAAACATACAGATTTGTCAGGAAGGATAAAGTGATGGTCCATATGTTACACTGAGATTGTCATTTTTGGCAGTGTTTGTGTTTTTTAGGTCATCAATAGCCATACTTTAGGCTAATGACTTATACTGGGATTTTGTGGGGCGGGGGGGGTTTCATTTTCTGCATTAAAAAAAATGAAAGTATAATTGACATAGAATATCTTCTTAGTTTCAGGTATATATGATAGAGGCTTGGTGTTTTTACACACTACAGAATGATCCAAATGATAGGTCTAGTTGTTTATACCACATAATTATATTCTGATTTGGAAATCAACTCAGAGTTTCAAAGCATGGGCTCAGTGGACAGCAAAGCTGAATTCCGATAGGAGTTTTGTCACTCACTGGCTCTTTGGTCTTACAGGTCATAGAATCATTTTAAGCCTTTTTTTTCTCTTCTTATGAATATGGCAGTGTCAACACCTTCTGTTGATGATCTAATGAAGTAGTAAAGTCCTTTGAAGAGTTAAGTTTTAGAAATATAGGTTGTTATAATCAGTACTTCAATGCTGCATACAAATGAGGTACTTAAAAATGAAGTTAATTTCCAGTCTCGTTCACATTAGTACGGTCCTTTACAAATAATCTTTTAAAATAAATACTTGTGTAGATGAAGCCACTACTCTATTTCGAGCCACAACACTTGCGAGCACCTTGATGGAGCAGTATATGAAAGCCACTGCTACACAGTTTGTTCATCATGCTTTGAAAGACTCAATTTTAAAGATCATGGAAAGCAAGCAGTCTTGCGAGGTACGAATTTCATGTTTAAGTATTTAAGTAAAGGGTGTATTTTAATAGGTAATGCTTTATAGCTAATTATGTTTTAAGGCAAATATATTAGCTTCTAAAATTATTCATCAGAGCACTTACACATTTTGTGAGACATTTAGAAAAACATTAGACAAAACAGACTTTTTAAAAAAGATGTACTTTGAGATTAAAAATCAGAAATTGCACCAGGAATTAATGAAAGTACTTTCTCATTTCTCCTGCTGTACTAATGATAAAGGATATGCTGCTTTCAGAAAGTGTATATAACATAAATTGAAGTTTTTGCTGGAGACTTAACATTTTATAACATAGTTAAGGTCTGAAACACTTCATAATAACAACTAGGGGTGTCCTTGAAGGCTTTTTGGGGGAAAGAAGTACGATATCCATTCAAAAGCAGATAAAAGCATCCTTTTAGGATTCATTATTAAGCCTTCAGTGTATATTCATAATAAACCATTAAGATAAAGAATGGAATCTCACATGGCTCTTCTCTCATCTGATTTTCAAGGTAGAAAGAACATCTATAGAAGGAAGATATTAAATACATTTTTTAGATCTGATACCAAGTTAATAAAAGAAGGAATTGCTTTTGATAACGTACACTGGGACCTGTCAGATGTTAATTTTGCACCAAGTTGCCAGTTTTTACTAATTAACATAGAGGGAAGAAATTGATTTAGTTTTGAAAACCTGGGGTAATGACATAGTTGGCCTAACTGAAATGGATACAGAAATGGAGAAAGTCTGAAGAGAGTCTGTGGACACTGGATTCAGGCTAGGGAGTTTAGATGTAGATAAATCTAGTCCATTGTTTCTAGATCAGAGCTCTTAGATTTCAAGGGGTAATGGAAAAATGTTGAGAAACGTTCATTATTCTGCCTATGGCATTCAGAAAACCCTTTCTATTTTAATCATTTTTTTTCCAAATAAATATAATCAAAATAGATTGTATAATCTATGGTAATCATTCTTCTCATATTCCTGGTATATTTGTGAATACGTGGCCACTAAAGATGGGGTTTTGTCTTCTAGTTGAGAATATATATAGTTTTTAAATAATGTCTAATTCAATTTGTGTGCCTATAAAAATCTATGGTAAAGCATGGTGAATGAATAAGAGAGAACTTTAACACTGGTATGAATCCCAGAATAGCTGAAAAGTGTTGAATAATCACTGCTTATTCTTCAGTTGAGTAATTGGAAATTAATAGTAAATGAGCTCCAAAGAGCAGACTGCCTTAAAATTCCCATTTATACTTACCCCCAAGACTAAAACGGATTGAAAAACGGAAAAACAGAGAACCTTGAAAACAACTATTTGATTGCCTTGATTCATTTGCATTTATCATTGGCAAGATGCATTTATATTGATTTATTCCTTCTCTTAGTTAAGTCCATCAAAGTTAGAAAAAAATGAAGATGTGAACACTAATTTAGCACACCTATTGAACATACTTTCAGAACTTGTGGAGAAAATATTCATGGCTTCAGAAATACTTCCACCGTAAGTGGTGAAATTTATTAATTTGACAAGAAATTGTGTATCTGCATTTTGAAAAATTTGTATTTCTAAAACATGTGTAAGCTTTTCCACTGTCCTGTTTTTATACTCTGAAAAAGTTAGGGTTTTTCATCTTTATAAGGTAAATTGTGTTTAAGGCAAAAGAGTGACTTGAAGAAACCACTGTGGTGACATATTTACATTAACATAAAAACCTTTTTATATAGGCTACTATGTCTGGTTTCTACGGTAACTTGGTAGTGAATAGAGACTTAATAGTCTCAGATTTGAGGGGATCATACATATCTTGGTTAGATATGCACCAGATAATTAGTATCTGCTTAACAGATGTTAGTGTAAGTGAACTCACTCAGGTAGGAGTGAACTTAAGTCAAAAATCTGTCTTCCTGGCATCTAAACTTAGTATTTCCTCTGTATCCTCATTCCTGTACTTTGTTTCATCTTTTTCATTAATACAGAAATATTCTAAAAATGGTAAAATTTCTCCCAAAGTTAATGTAAAGAACTAGTTGAACGAATTGATGACAACTTGTTTTCGTTATCCCTTGCTAAATGCGTTGTTACTTGTAGCAGAGTACTTTTGGGGTGGGGAGAAGAAGGCAAGTTGCATTAAAACATGTATTTGGCAAATTAAGCTTTTGGCTGCAGTGAGATCAGCATTTTGCCCCACTCCATGTATTGAGACAATTGTGTTGTTTTGGCAGGACACTGAGATATATTTATGGGTGTTTACAGAAATCTGTCCAGCACAAGTGGCCTACAAATACGACCATGAGAACAAGAGTTGTTAGGTAAGGCTCATCAATTCATTCATTATATCATTATGTATAGCGTGCATGGATAGTCAAGTGGGTAACCGTGAAAATTTGAAGACTAACAACTAACAGTATTGAAGACTTTTTTCTCTGATTTGATGTCAGAGTCCTGTTGAATATTTTCTGAGTTCAGAGGCTTTGAAACTATAACTTTACTGTGGGTTTTTTTTGGAAGTTACTAAGAGATATTTAGCTACTGTATACGTTTTCTAAAAACCTGAACACTCATAGTTAACTATTTGGGATTTTTTTATCTTATAGAGAGAATGAGTTTAAAAGTTATGTAACCAACAAGACCTATAGCTAACTTTATATAGTACTCTTCATATACACAACACATATCTACATGCATATAGGCATATACACGTATATGCACAGAGAAGAGAAGGGAAGGGGACAGTGGGAGGAGTGGAACAAATTGATGTGGTGCTAAGAAGGAGGAGCAATATTTGACCCTTGAGATACTGTTTGGTTTATAATAGTCTGTGACTCTGGGCTAATCTCCAGTCTAGTTGTGAAGCTGTGTTTCTGTGTGCCTGCTGTGCAGTAATTAGGAGGAATTGCTTTGGCAAGTCACAGAATGTTGTATCTTACACAAAGGGACTTCATTATCATTATTTTAACTTACTTTTCCAATAAGGAAGCAGCTCTAGAAGAGGTTAAAATTGTTTGCTTAAGGTCATGTAGTGCTGAGGCAGAACTAAAGGCCAGGCTTCTAAGATCCAGTCAAAATCTCTAAGCTATTATAGGCTTTTGTTAAGTACATCCAGCCCACTGAAGACAACTGGAGATTCAGTGCAAAAGCATCAGAGAATATAGCAGTCTAATAATAAGATATTATGGAGAATATATACTGTCAGTCATTTTATATCCCATTAAAAAAAAGTTAGACAACCACTCAAGACACAAATACTATACAGGTGATTTTGAAAATGTGTGTTAATCCTGCCTCCAGCCTGAGTTTTGTAAAAGAGGTTTTCTACTCTTTCTACAGTTAAAATTTCTCTTGGTTAGTAATGATAGGACATCTGTGTTAAAGAACTGTAGATTCTTTATGTCTTGGCTTTAGTAGTGACTGAGAATTAGAAAATAATTATAAGCATGTTTCCAGCACAGTTGTGTATATGATGTAAATTAAAGTTTTTGTAAACTCAGTTTCAAATGAGTATAATTGTTAAGCAAATGCAGCAGGAAATTCTGCTATGTGAATTGTTTGACACTATAGGGTTTTTAAGGGGCACTTATGCCCAAGGTGATGATTTCTGACCCTAGTGTAGGTCCTAGTATCCTTTTGAAAGTTAAATTCCCTCTAAAAATACACAGAAAGTAGACGTGCATACTGAAATTCTTTCATGATTAAATGTTGGTAGGTGAGATTTCAGATTCAAAGACTTAAGTATTAAAATGTTTTCAAGCAAAATTTATGCAAGATTCTTCACAAATTAGTTTAAAAGAGGTAGTTAAAGAGCTGATAATTGTGTATTACAATTGCAATAAGTGCTATCTGAGAAGTAACAACCATTTCTAAGAGTCCAAAAAGAAGTGAACTGTTGTGATGTTGGAAAGTAAATGCTGAGGAGTTGGTTTACCCTCTCTGTAATGGAGAAGGTGAGGTCTTTTTCTTTATTATCATAAAAGCTTTTCAACATTAAATTGAATACATTTTCACTTACCAGGAAGTCACTTTTCCCTACTACAGTGGGCTCTTATTTTGGTAATTCATTAACAAAATCAGAATAATCAACTTGATTTATAACGACTTTATAGGGCTATTCTATTTAAATAAGTAAAGAAAGAAATGAGGGAATATAAGTTTTAGGACCGTACAGGACTATGTATCTATAAAAAGGTTTATTTGTACTCCTATAGTATTTCAGAAATTCTTAATGTTCCTAATACTCCTCCTTCCTCAAAGCAAGTGTAAGATGCACTACTAGCGCGGGATAAGTAAAGAGTTGCCAAGACCGTAAATGTTACAGATACAACCTAAATCTTCCCAGAATAAACTGAAAACTCCAAGTTTGGGAAAAGCAACTAGTATAAGAAGCAGAGATACATGTTCTTAGAGTAAGATACTTTAGCTTATTATTTTCTTGAAGCTATGTTTGGGCTTCCTTATATTAATTCATAGTTCATGGTTCTACAAGTATTAAAACTTTTGTTTATTATTTTTATGTAACATATATAGTTTTCTAAAAAAGAAAATTTCCCTCCCATTCAGTGGTTTTGTTTTTCTTCGACTTATCTGTCCTGCCATCCTGAATCCACGGATGTTTAATATCATCTCAGGTAATCAGCTTTTGATAAAATTTTAAAATTAAAAAAATTAGAAATTATATCTTTGACGTCTGATTTTATTTTTTTACCTTGTATCTCATTTTATCTTTGACATCTGATTTTTTATTATCAAGTTCTAAAACTTGACATAAACATTCCAAAGTGCCCTTTTCTTCTTCCTTCCTTTTGCTATTTACCCTCTCTACTTTTACTTACCTTTTCTTTCTATCTAATATCTGAAGCCTGAGGTGGCGTGACTAGACACGTGTCACTCTTTCACCATCCCTACCTGTGTCTGAAACTCACATTATGATGACTTTTTCCAATCTGCAACTTGGCTTTTTCAGGTTGGGAAGAGCTTTCCTTGTGCTTTTAGTCCACACTAGACTCGATCACTACCACTGCAAGTTGTATTTTCAGGTCACATTAAAATGATAGCTACAGGTTCAGTAGTGCTCTGTAAATACTTGTGGCCCTGTAGAGAGGAGAAGTTTTTTTTTTATAAAGTTTTTTTTTTTTTTTTTCAACGTTTATTTATTTTTGGGACAGAGAGAGACAGAGCATGAACGGGGGAGGGGCAGAGAGAGAGGGAGACACAGAATCGGAAACAGGCTCCAGGCTCTGAGCCATCAGCCCAGAGCCTGACGCGGGGCTCGAACTCACGGACCGCGAGATCGTGACCTGGCTGAAGTCGGACGCCCAACCGACTGCGCCACCCAGGCACCCCGAGAGGAGAGGTTTTAATTGGCCAGTTTAAACTCCCAACAAAGCAGATTTGAGTTTGCTTATTTCCCGTGTATCTATTATGGAAGGACTTCCAGATGCCGTAGGCTTCTTTGGAAGAAAGGGGAACGGTGATCCCTGTGACTCCAAATGTAATAATGAGCCATTAGGAACAGAAGGAACCTGAACCGTTTTTATTTTGATAATTAGAAGCTCAAAGTTGTATTTAACATATTTTGGACTAAATCTTAATTTTTACCTTATTATAGTCACCAGATGTCTGTCATTATCTTCTGTTGCTACTCAAATGGTTAAATCTCTGGTTCTATTAAGAATTAGAGTTTAGATTTTGGAGAGACTGGTTTATCTGAATGTTGGCCTCCTAGCCACCAGGCACTACTTATTTAGAGTTCAGCTTAAGATTAAAAGTACAATCTAAAATTAGACAAATAGACTTAGCTATGCATTTTTACTGTTAAGTAATTGTTATGTTTCAGGGATTATATGTAATAGCTACAGTTTTCATTTGTAGCCTACTATGTACATCCTATAGGGAAAGGTCTCCTGACTAATCTTCATAGTTTATTCTATACTATTTTTTTTTTTTTCTCTCCTTAAAATAAAGCAGAAGTCCCAGATGTTATCTTTGTTATTGAGCTTTAAAGTGATTTTGTAGTCACTGGAAGATTGGGAGTAGGGAAGTGCACAGACTGCAAATTGCTAACGTGAGTGGGTTGAAATTAGTTTTGCAAATTGTCATGAAGGGTTTGTGGAATGACCCTTCTTTAGCGATAAAGATAAAGCAGTCTTTGAGGTGTTCTGAAATACCAACCAATTGAGAACTGCTGAGTCTTGTAGCACCAACCTTTTCACAAACTATAAATATTGATCAGTTTATTTAACTTTACCCCCTTTAACTTGTTTTTTGATTTATACAGGTCATGTAATTCCCAAAAAAGATTCAGCTCTAAATGGAAGAGTGTTAGTATTTTTAACAGTAAACAAATTTTATTTTTAATGTTTATTTGAGAAAGAAACAGAGTACACCAGCAGGGGAGGGGTAGAGAGAGAAGGAGAGAGAAAATCCCAAACAGGCTCTGCACTGTTAGCGCAGAGCCTGACATGAGCCTCGAACCCATGAACCATGAGATCATTCATGACCTGAGCTGAAATCAAGAGTCAGCCGCTTAACCAACCAAGCCACCCAGGGGCCCCCAGTAAAGAAATATTAAAGTGCTAAATTTATAATGCTTTACCTGAAAATGCCTTTGGAGTCAGTGTCATTACCTGTGCCCAATTCTCTCTCATAGATTCCCCGTCTCCTATTGCTGCAAGAACACTGATATTAGTGGCTAAATCTGTGCAGAACTTAGCAAATCTTGTGGAATTTGGAGCTAAGGTAAAACCTTTTGATACTTTAAAATGCCACTTACAAATGAAATTTTGACATAATAAAACCATGAAATATGGACAGTTTAGGTAGATTTTCAATAGTGGCTATTTTATAAAGAAAATCACTAAGTAGATTTTTAAACATACCTTAATCCATCTCATTAATTCATAATAAACATTTACTGTAAATAACTCAGACGAGTTTTTAAAACATCCATCTATGATCCCACTTCCTAAGCATTGTTAATATTTAGTGGTGATCATACCGTGGTGCCTGATTTTGTCAGTATTTAACAAACTTCTTGCTGTACAACTATTTTATTATTTTTAATGATTATGTTGTCATGTAGGTGTTAAATACTCCTGTACTCATTATTTAGATGGCTTCCAACTTGTCACTGTTATAAATACTGCTATAACAAGTATCCATACATACTTTCAAAATTGTCCAGTTACTTCCTTTAAGTTTGGAGTAAAATTCTTAGGTAGGACTTTTTGATCTTCAGATCCTTGCCAAAAGTCAGTGACTATTAATTGTTTTTAATTTTTGCTAACCATAATGTTACTTTTACTTTTCATGTCTGTTTCTTTGGAATTGACTAGAGTTCCTTACCATTTGTTATTGATTTTAAAAGAGTTTGTGTTAAGCCTTTTTTGTTTTACAACATGGAACGTTTTTAAACAGGCTTAAGATTTTAGTATGGAGAGCAATTTGTAGTATGGTTTAGCATTTGAATTTATCTGAATCCTGAAGCAGGTTGTGAGTAGTATATATTCCTGTTGCAGTCTTGAGTGCACTGCATTTTAATTATCTGTAGTCTGCTACATTCAAACCTCTGGGTTTGGCTCATGTTTATCTTGGCAGTTGGCAAATAATAGTTTCTCAGTAATTCTATCTGAATTAGTTGACCCTTGACAACAGGTTCAAACTGTACAGGTCCACTTATGGCTATTACAGTACGGTAAATATATTTTAAGATTTTATTATTTTCTTTAGCTTTATTGTAATAATACAGAAGAGAATACATGTAACATAAAATATGTGTTAACCAACTATGTTATCAGTAAGGCTTCTGGTCAAAACTAGGCTATCAGTCAAGTTTTTGGGAAGTCAAAAGTTATTGGTCATTGCTCAGTGTTTTCATCTAGAATTTCTTTCATTAAAAAGATTCCAGTTCCTCAGTTATTTGCTTTTATTAGAAGACAAATTTGTATGGTTAAATTAATTCTTGTGAACATGTATTGCTATTGATGGGCATAATTAGATTGTAAGAATTCTTGCTACATGTATGGTGGTTATCGATCAGTGTTTGTTTTTGATCTATAAATTGTAAGGTTTTTGTTTTTATGTTTCTAGGAGCCCTATATGGAAGGTGTCAATCCATTTATCAAAAGTAACAAACATCGTATGATCATGTTTTTAGATGAACTTGGGGTATGTGTGTAACTTTTGAAGTACTTTAAGACCTATAGTTAATATAGCTGAGAGTTAATGTATTTAAGCAATAGCTTAGATTTTCCATCTGGGAAAAAACAAAACAAAAAGCTGCCTATTTTCGTCTGCTTTCCCAAATTATTTCATTTTAACCATTTGTTCCTACACTAAATGGTTTATGCCAAGTATTCACTATGGCTTTTGTAGTACTTATGTTTATTTCTGTCTTGACGTTCATCATCTTTTAGCTGTTCAATCTCCTTACTGTGATAATCTGTTGTTGTATTTACTTAACTGCTAGTGTATGGCATTTGAATTAAGATCGATGATTCAGATCTGACCAGGTTAAATAAATAGACTGGAATGAGTGTTCTTGAGGCTTTTCTAGAATAAAATACATGGATTTAGTGTTACACTTCACTTAGTGGTACTACCTATGTCTTAATTGGGCCTTTATAAATAAACTGTAATGATAAAACAGGGAATTTATATATTATATATATGTATTTTATGTGTATATATGTAATTGTATACATATAAATTATATACAAATAGTATGTATACATATATACACACAATTTATAAGATCCTGTATTAGTAAAGTTGAATATTCTTGATTGTAGATTTTCAGACATTGAATCAATTAAAAACTAAAATACATTAGTGATCCAGTTCACATATAAAAAAACAAGTTTATGAAAAAGGTGATCACTTTAGCCAGGTGTATGACATTAGGGAATGCTATGGTAGGAGACTGAGGTACCCATGTCCTGCCTTAAGGTATTCAAATTCAGTTAAAAACAAGCCACACCAGTATGCAATGAAAGCAACCAGCACCGAGTTTGCAACCTCAGGGATAAAAAACAAGTGTAAAAAGTTATTTACAGCGTAAGTTTATACTTAGGATAAAATTGAGAAATACAGGGGCCAATGCCAAATGTCCATCTTTCTTATATATGAACTCAGGGAAGTTTTGCAGATACCAGTATTTCTGATTATCAAAAAAACACAGCTGGTCAAGGATTGAAAAAATTGAAAACTGTCAAGGGGCGCCTCGGTAACTTGTCAGTTAAGCATCCAACTTTGGCTCAGGTCATGATCCTGTGGTTTGGGGGTTTGAGCCCCACGTCAAGGCTTTGCTGACAGCCTGCTTTGGATTCTCTCTCTGCCCCTCCCCTGCTCACACACACTCTCAAAAATACAAAAATCAAACTGTCCAGTATTTAATACCAGCTAGCTTTATCTTAAGCTATATTTCTAGTTTTTAGATTCTTGAGATTAATGGTTAGGACTCCATTCATACTCCACAAGTGTCAACATTCCCGCTTCCTCATCATTTTCCTAGTTAGGCCTCAAATTGTGTCCTTTCAAAGTGCTTCAAATTCCCAATACTCTGTCTCCTCACGCTCTTGTATTCCTTTACCACCTGCAAAAATCAAATTCATCTTTCAGCACTCACCTGAAGTATCTCCTTCAGAAGGGCTTTGATGAGCACTAAACCTGAATCAAATACCTTTTGTTCTGCTTCCCAGGAGTCCTCTGCACATCTTTGATATCTCTGTGTTGCTGTGATTCGTTTACGTATCTTCTACAGAGACTGCAAGCTCCCTGAAGGCAAATACTGTAGTTTTTGTTTTGTTTTGTTTTTTGGTTTTTTTTTTAAGAGAGAGAGGGAACAAGAGGGCAGGCAGGGGAGAGGCATAGAGAGAATCCCAAGCAGGCTGTGCACTGCCAGGGCAGAGCCCAATGTGGGGCTTGAACCCACAGACCATGAGATCATGACGTGAGATCAAGAGTCAGACACTTAACTGAGTGACCTCGGCACTTACAGTCTTTCATTTCTGTAATCCTTCATTCACTGCATGAATAAATGAATAACTGAGTTAATTAACAAGTATTATCACCATTAGGGAGAGGAGTGGATTTATTCAAAACTACCAGCAGGCTGAGCCCATGTTAAAGTTTATTCTCAGGCTGAAACTAACATTGATTATTTAGTGCTAATAAAGTACTAAGTTATTTAATGAACGTTACCTTAAGATATCATAATTCACAGTGATCATTTCCACACATAACCAAATGTTTTGGGCATAGTCCACAGATAATTACAGGCCTGACATGTTCTCATCACACTTTCACAGTGTAACTCTTATATATACTGATAAAGTCAAACAAAATATACCGGCTGAATAATGAAGTTTAGTTTGCAAGAACAGAGGCATTTTAAGTTTAGGTTGCATTTAATCCAGATTAGCTGTTACACTGTGTTGTTTTGTCTTTTTGGGGTTTTTTTTTGCCTATATACCAGATCAATAAAACCCAGAACTCTTAATAAAGGGGTTTAGGAAACCCATTTATTTAGAATAACAGTACTGTACAATATTCTGCCATTATGTGGTAGAAAACCAGAACCTAGGTTTGATGTGAATGCTGAGGTCACAGATTCTGTGTTTTATCAGAATTAGCACTGAATGTTACATTTCAGTAAGTCCTTAGAACATTAAGAGAAGTTTAAGAGAATATTACGTTAAAAATTCTGTCTACTATAAGCAATTAGGATCTTTTCAGAAGTGACTATAAAGATTTGTGTATGTAAATGCAGTTTTATGATTCTCTTAAAGAATGTACCTGAACTTCCGGACACTACAGAGCATTCTAGAACTGACCTGTCTCGTGATTTAGCAGCACTGCATGAGATTTGTGTGGCCCATTCAGATGAACTGCGAACACTCAGCAATGAACGGGGTGCACAGCAGGTAGGTTTTTGCCAGCCTTCACTAACAGTGATGTTTGATTAACACTTAAGCAGAATGTCAGCATAAAATTGAGAGGGAATTTGCTGAGTTATGGTCAAAACTGTTCTCAGTTACATTTTTAAGAATCTGAATCATAACTCCACCAAGATCTTGGCAAAGGAATAGTGGACCCAGGCTAAAATTATGTATGTTTGATACTGCACAAACGATGATGTGTTTCACACACTTCAGTGATTTCTGAAGATGGCAAATGAACAATGAAGTCAATAGTGAGGTGGCATTTTCTTTGTTTCTCTCACATATGCAGTGCATGGCCAAGTGACTTGCAAGCTCCAGATTCAGAGATTCTGGAGCATGGCGTGGGAAGATGCCATTTCTATTAAGCTCTTCCTGAGTACTGTCACTAGCCTGGCCATTCATTTGGCAGGGACCCTGTAGAAGAGATTAAAACATTGTGTTTGGGGACTCTGAGTTTTCTTCAACCCCAAATCCTCAAGTTTAGATAACACTCTGGCTTATTAAAAGCTTAGGCAGGATGTGTGCCACTGGCCTCCTTACATGTCCATGGTATGTATACTGTCTTCTCCCTACCTGGTGCAGTTTATTATGCACTGCCTTAAGATAAAAATAAAATTCTTACTGGACAATTTGACTAAAAAATTTTAGGCCTAGTCCTTTCTCTTCCATAATCTTAAAGTATTCAGTAGGCTGCAAATTGAATGTCCTTCCATCATCTTACAGGGTTTAAGATGTATGTGTCATTTATAATAAATGTTTTCTGGAAAGATGGTCTATCCTAGGTAGATAGGAGAATGCCACACAAATGAATTTACTTACTTTAAAAGTGTACAAAAATACTGAGTCAAGGACTGAATAGAAACCTTTACGGTTTCATCTCTTGAGTAGAATGGTTAATAGTTTTTGAATTCTTTTGAATTGATAATGGCTTTTTACAAGTCCAGGTTCCCTCAAATTTGACCAAACTGTTACCTATTTACTAATTATTTTTGTACTGTTCTCTTTGTTTATTTAGCATGTACTGAAAAAGCTCCTGGCCATAACAGAACTGCTTCAACAAAAACAAAACCAGTATACAAAAACTAATGATGTCAGGTAGCAGCCTTCGCCCAAGTGCAGCACGCCCAACATGGTAATTCACGTCAGTATAATGTCTCCTTTGCTCTTGCCAAAAAATAGCACACTTTTCCACATTCCAGTGATGTGTGAGCTATGCAAACAAAATCCAAGATTCTGCTGGTGAGTGTGCCAGCAGCTTTTTGTAAGCTATCTGTGCAGGATATTTGCACTTTTTCCACATACGGAATCAATCTTTACCAACTTCTGAGCCTTGGTGTACAGATCACCTTTCACACAACAAAATGCTATGACTATATCTTGAACTTGGAAAATGTATTTTCCCTACATCCAATTGCCAAAAAAAGAACTATGAAACCAACTGACAAGAAAAAGGATTCTGTTGACAATTGAGGATAACTGGATCACTGACTGTTCTTACTGTAACTCCTTCCTCATTAGGAATACGACCGTTTGACTGTTCATTGACTATTTGTATTTACAGTTTCCAGAGTTTGCCATTATAATAGGAACAATCTTTGCTGTATACTTTTTTAAAATACTGTGCTATTTCTCTTGCTGGAACTGTTGAAAGAAAATATATAGAATGGATCTATTGCTCATCAGCTTTATTTTTTAAACATACCACTTATTTTGTTGGAATTGTCAAAGACTGTATTTAGATCTCATGATGCTTTCGTTACATGTTTACAACAGTAAATAGTTTGAATTCAATAAATATTATTGGTCGTTGTACTGATCAAGGCATGTTCCCCATTCATCCATTGTATACATTACCAATTTATTTTGTGTTTAAAAACACCTGGAATGCTTTTGTTGAAAGTATTCATTTCCAAACTGATGTTTTTAAACAGTTCTCCATCTTTGAACTTCTGACTACTTGTTCTATCTGCTGCATATTTAGTTTGTATAGTTTTATTTGCTTCTGTATATGTATTTTTGTGAAGTATTCACAAGGGTTAAGTTAAAATAAAACCAAGGGATATCTTGAATAATTGTCTAAATCCAGCTAAGCATTTCATTATTTTCTTTCTCCTTCAGGGGCAGTTCAAATTTAGTACCAGAGCAAGGCCTAGTAAGAAAAAGACAAGTAACAATTCCTTCCCTCCTACGATGGTGTAGGAGGGGGAAGGCACACAAAAAGTAGTACATGGCAGAAAAGCCTTCTGTGGAGGCAGGTGAGCAGTGGTGTTCAACAGCCCTGTGCTTTCTCTTGGTGTCAATTTCATTACTTTACTTTTCCATCACTCCTGCTTTACGGGAGTATCCCACTTGGGTTACAGAATGAAGGATAGACCAGAAGGGACATGGAGCAAAGAGGTCCAAATTCTAGCACTAGGCAATCGCGTTCTCCACCACTGATCACATTTTAATGCCACGTTTATCTTTTAAGCTGGAATAGGAAACGTCATTTACCTTTGTAGGGTGGAACTTGCAGTAACTAGTTGGGTCAATGATGAAATAAAGCCTCTAAAACTTTTAAAATGGGGCTGGGTAGGAGACTTTGCAGAGATAAATGTGGACCTTGCTCAGATGCCAAAGCTTACTGACCTAAAAGACAAACAAGGTAAATTACCAACACTCCGCAGTGCTGTCTAGAGGCTAGCAGCACTGCTACATAACTTGGAATGCACTGGAAAATGGTCAACTTAAGCTTCTTCTATTCGACTTTTATAAAACCACACTTAATGAACTTCATTCCTCATTCTAAAGTGAGAAGGAACTAAAAATAAAAAACCTAAAATATAAAAAATTATTAGAAGAATATGCATATAGTAAATACTGTCCTCAAATACTGAGATGTAATTAAAATATACTCTAAATGGAAGGTGCAGCCTGGGATGCACAGACATTGAGAAAAGCTGTGTATAACATTCAGATTCACGGGCTGAGTTTTGCCGAATTCCTTCAACCAGTATTCCAGAAAAAATTCAACAGACATCCATAATTTGGTTCCAAATTATGAATAAAACAGAATAGTAAAATCACAGTTAAATACCTGAATACTATTTCTATCCAACATTTATTAACACTTAATATAGGCAACCACTATTCCAATTAATCCTAGGAAACATAAGTGATTATTTTCCCCATTTGCACCTTAGGAAATTGGCACAGAGGTCTGTGGAGTTACATTTAATATCCACTCCCTTCAATTCGAATTAAACTTCTTAAACATCTTTAATTTGAAAAATTCTTAGTAACTGTAACACCTATCTACTGGTTAATAGCAACTTAATATTTTTATCGAGACAACTATTCAAGACTGCATATTTACCAGGATGCCTGGGTGGCTTCCAATTGGTTACACGTCCCAACTTCGGCTTGCATCACGATCTTGCAGTTCATGAAGTTCAAGCCCTGTGTCAGGCTCTGTGCTGACAGCTCAAAGCTTGGATTCTGTGTCTCCCTCTCTTTCTGCCCCTCCCCTGCTCTGTCTCTCGTTCAAAAATAAACATTAAAAAAATATAAAAAAAATAAAATAAAAGACTGCATATTTACTTGATTTCTCTTTTAGAAACCTATTTGGTAAGGTTTTCAGGTAACTGAGGAAAACAAATACTGACTACCACTTGACAGCTGAAGCGCATTTTGTAGTTCAGTAGTAACCTACAAAAAGTTAAGTAGATCACAGTGACATTTGAGAAACCATTTATATAAAGGCTTGTAGAGAGTGAAAAACATTCCCTAGCACATTTAAAGCAGACTACTCGGTTTTTTTAACTTTTGTGCTTTTCCTTAAAAAATAGGTTTGCATATTGTAATTTGTTTTAAACAATACAGGCAAATAAATTACAGCTTTCACTACTATAGAAAGATTAATTTGGTATTAGTCATGATGGGGCAAGACTATCTAAACCAGGTGCTATTCTGGCCCCTTTGAAAAGGTTTTATTTCACATAAAGCTATCCTGAAAGGGAAGAAAATTTAACTAACAAAAATAGAAAATTTACTATCTTTAATGCTTTCACGTCATTTCATTTTTAAATAAACTTAAATGCCAGATAGGTTTCATCCTTCTGTTGATTAGTTAGCATTGAAAAGTCAATTTCAAATGGTTAGAGAGAATCAACCAGGTCATCGTCAGTCCATTCTTCCTAAGAAGGAAAGAAAATGTAGTAAGAATAACATTACACTGAAGCATAACATTAATGTTTACTTCCTTGCCTCCTTTTAAGAAAATGTTCTACTTTTACTCTGCTGATTATACGAAGGTAAATCAACCAGGAAACTTTGTGGTAGTTCAATCTTAGAATAATATGGCTTGGTCTTACCAGACTACACCAATGACGAGAAAAGGTTACAACTGTGACCTTTTGCCTCCTATTAATGTATATCTAACTTATAAGGTACATTTTTTAAAAAAAAAAGGATAAGAGAAGAATCCTGGGAGAGTCAAATAGCAAAAATTTAGCATTTTCTATTTCTGCTGCCTTCCATAATCACAGGAAGAATTCGTCAAGTAACAATCATACTGCTTCACAATAGGCTAAGATAATAAGAGAATGTACATAAAGAAGGGTGCAAGAAAATGAAAATGAAGGCTTTCAAAGCCCACACCTCTCTAATACTCATGTTCTGGAATGATAAAATCTTAACAGTATGGTCAGACCAAATTATACAACAAGAGTAACTTAAAATTTACCTTTGGACAACATACCTCCTCATGTTTGGGTTTCTTTGAGACATAATCATCATCTTCATAGCCTTTCCTCTTCTTCCTATGATTGAGCAACCATCAGTAAGCAATCGAATACTGGTAACAAAAACTACAAAATAAACTAGCAAGGCTGGTAAGTGGTATGTATGTATCTGCTGAAGAACATAGCCTGCATAAATGGAAAGAGATGAACTATGACAGATAGGAAGACAGTATCTTTCAAATTCACCTTTACATTCAATGCAATTCTAACTAAAGTCCTAATAAAGCTTTTCCTGGAACCTTTCAAGTATAACTCTGATGTGTGAAAGACTGCAAAAATAGCCAAAGAATCTGAAAGAACAGTGTGGGGCCCTTGTCCCAGTTATCAGAACACTATATATTAGAGATATGGTAACTTAAAGTATGGGATTAGCAAGATTTAAATAGATCAACAATCAGAGCAGACAAGCAAAAAAACAACTATACATAGGAACTTAATATACAATGAATATTTAACTGAGAAAAATTATGAATTTTTTAAAAAGTGACTAGCATAACATTACTGATTTTAAAAAATGAGTATTAAGATTTCTACCTCAGAACGTTCACGAATAATTCTAAATAGTTTTGACAGCTAAACAAAAAGCAAAATGTAGATTAACTTAGGGTAGGAAAAGGTTTTGAGATATAAAGGTGTAAAACAACACAAAGTAAAACAGAAGAAATCTATCACAAAGTGAAACAAGAAAACAGGTGTAAGATATATTTGAAAAGTATATAAAATATAAAAAGAGCTACAAATCAAGAAGATAACACCAGAAAACCACTCAAAGGTTATAAGCAAGCAATACAGAAGTAGAAATATAAATGGTGAACACAGAAACATCAATGCCTCACAGTAATACGGGAAATGCAAATTAAAATACCAATGTGATCACTTTTTTCACCCAGACTGATAAAAGTTAAAGATTCATACTATTAAATGTACAATATGTATGAAAACAGTAATGAAGAGAAAAAAACAAACTTCCTGATACACACATGCAGAGAAAATGATGGCAAAGGTAAACCACCTAGAAATTACCCCTGAGGTCACAAGTGGATTTGGGTTTTGATCTAACAGAACTTTGGTTTACCTGAATCGGCGGACTTTAATAATGACAATGTAGTTATTACTTGTGTAATGGAAAAAAGATAAAGGAGTTTATAAAGAAAACAAATATTTTATCCTAACGTAATGCCTGTTAAGTGTGGTCCACGGACCAGTGCTGGTCAATCCAGGAACCATTTCCACTATGCAAGAAGATTAAGTACAGAAACTGAGTGTGTGTTTAGAAACTTTTACAGTAATTTTGTTGATTTTATGTCAGTTGAATCTAATAAAATTTAGGCTTATATTTTGTCTATTTCATTTTCCTAGTAATTTATTGCTTGCATTTTATAATGTAAGCAATATATTTGCTTGCATTTTTAAAAGCACCTCTCAAGTACTCATGGATATGCAGAATTTGCTTGACATAGTGTAAAGCAGATAGTAACTTGGGAGTAAGAGGTAGTACTCTGGCAATTCAGAATTTTGGCTTACGGGCCGGGCCATTCAGTTACCTAGCTAGAAGGGTAGATTAATAGTTCAGTGGTCTAATCCAGAGGGTGGTAAATTTTTCTTTAAATGGCCAAAAAGTAAATATTTTACACCCTGTAGGTCATACAGTCCATTTCTGTCACAACTAACCAACTCCGGCAGTAGTGTGAAAACAGCCACAGACAACATGCAAATTAACGGGTATGTCTCTGGTCCAAGACCAGTCTTTCTAAAAACAGGTAGTAGTTCACATTTGGCCTGTGGGCCAGAGTTTGCCAGCCCCTTCAAAATCTATGTGGAAAGAAGATGATCAGTGCTGTAATAATTTTACTTACCAAAGTCAACATTTCTTTACTTCTCTGTAACCTCTCTTTCATTCCTATGAGTTACCACTGAAACCCAGGAGTGAAATCTACCAATTTTAAGTCCTATGCTAAGCCATGCTTTGCAAATATAGTTATGAATATAATAAAGTAGACCCATATTTGGCATGCTTCATAAATCTCCTACTACCACTGTGTACTTACACAGTTTGACTCATGTGTACCTGGATCTGAAGGCCATGGAACACTGTTGTGGTTTCTCATTATCCAATCGAGTATATTTACCAACTATAGAGATAACATCTTAGATGCATCCTTAGCTATAAGATGCCAGGGCTCATTCCCACTAAATACTAACAAGTAAGGTAGAACCTTTGAATCAGAATGCATTCCACAGAAAATAGAAAATAGTTTTTCCATTCTTATTATGTGTCTGGACGCCCAACTGTTCAAACTCCTGAAAGATTAGGTTTGAGTGGATCCTTCAATTTGCAAAGCATCAAGAACCTGAATTCTCTAGCTGCCACACTTAGCCTACAAATCGGTAAGATACCTTACAGGTCTTCCTTAAGTATAAAGTTTACCACTGAAAGAAAATAAGCCAACTTTCCCTACTCTACCTAATAGAAACCTGGAACAATATACTTGTTCCCTCAGACAAGGTATCAATCAGACCTGCCAAGAACCCAAAGATTAAAAGAGCAAGAAGAGGTTCAAAGACTCCTGAGAAAGACTCTAGAGACCCCACAAGGAGTAAAAGAACGGGACAGGGCCTGCAAGCCAAAGAACACATTAGTCATAGCAGGAGAACTGTATTACGAAAACCAGACCATTACCTTGTGTTTATGAGAAATGTCCACTCAATTAAAAAAATCCAACTTAAGGAGTAAGTCATTTTTCCCCGCGAAAGCAGTTACCAATTAAATGACTTATTTTAAGGATGAGCTAGACTTGACAATTGTCGAATAACACATCTACTTACGTAATTATGTTAAGGGCAAGCTCAGCAGAGTGACATCTCTCTAACTTCTGTTTCAGAACAGCAACTTCTTCAGATCTGGGTGGTTCATATTTTTTTACCAAGTTTCTCATACCTAAGTGGATAAAAAGATTTATAACAGATAATAAAAAGTCTTTTCCCATAAGGGAGCGGGGTACTGTCCCACCTTATAATGGGAATAACAAAACTCTTGAATTGTGATTATTATTATTATCAGGATTTGCATTGCTCTGCATTAAAATCCAACAAACAGCACACTTCAAGTAATTAGAGCTGTCTGCTGGTTAGCCCATATCACATACAGCACAAAAATAACCATGTTCTACATTCTAGTCAGTTTTTTTCCAAATCCCACCATGGTCACTTTCTGCTCAGGTTTAAAGCTTTATAAATCCCATAATTTAGTGAGCATGCTTTGTTTCCTGCCACCAACTGTATTTATAACATTCTGTCCTACAGATGGTGGTCCATGGGTTATACTTCTTATTTACAAAGAAAATCACTATTAGATGACATGTAATTAAGGGAGGATGCTCAGTAAAATGTGTCAATGGTCCTTCACTTCAACAACATGCAGATCCTATACAATAAAGCATCGCCAAGAAAACAAAAATGTTCTCTTCAGGCTAAAAGCAAACTACTTTGTCAGTGACTTAATAATTGCAGAATGATCCTCTACCCTGGTCTGTTAATATTATTCAACTATAATAAACCTAAGAATATAAACCTCAAGATTTTTCAGGGGACTGATGAGAGATCCAGGGCTTATTACTAGCTGGCCACATGCTCAAATAGGGAGAGCTACTGGCTTATTTCATACTGCAAAGAATGGAGTGTTTTCAACTGAATACTGATGACTCCGTACCCTGAGGACAGTATCTTTGTTCCAAAAATTTATGAATAAGATACCTTAATTATCGTTAAAGCTCTGAATGTTTGTCAAGAGCTATCCTTCCTTCATGTTAAAATAGTGGAGTAAATTAAAGATCCTTGAGAAGAAATCAGTAATCAATTGTCAGTGTACAAGGAGCACTGTGGGTTATCTTTAAGGCCCATTTTACCCACTAAATTCCATGATCCTAATGAAGATCTCTAGCCACATCACAATTAGCTTTGGAAGTGAACCCTCTAGTGGTGTAACTGAAGACATACAGTTTTATGATTCATAAATCACAAATCCATCATTCTCAATTAAAGAGGAAAGGAAGCCCTCAATTTCAAGGAGAGAATTAAGGAATGATATTTACATGCTCTGAAGCATCTTAACTTTTAAAACATAAACAATATAAAAAGTACACCCATTTACCCATTTCTGCAATAGCGATCTTTATGCTATTTTATTGGTTTATTATTTCAACTGCATATTTAATTAGCAAGGACAAATACCACAAAAAATTTGGGGGACAAATACGACAGACTGAATCCTAGGGCTTAGTGGCCATGAGCATTCAGTGCAACATGGGCAAGAAGGAAGGACAGGGCTGGCTGATCTCTACTCAACCTTAAGACAGGGTTTCTCAACAATGGCACTCAGCAGTGTCAGTTTGGGCTAGAAAATTCTCTGTCATGAGGGGCAAGATTTGTTTCCCAAGTCTGCTATTCTCTCACAGTTCTGAAGCCCAGAAGTCTGAAATCAGTTTCAATGGGCCAAAATCAAAATGTCAGCTGAGCCAGGCTCCCTCTGGAGGCTCCAGGGGAAAATCCAGCTTCTAGTGGCTGCCAGCACCCCTTGGCTTGTGGCCATATCACTCCCGATTTTCAAGGCTGCCATCTCTGTGCTCTATCTTCACAATGGCTTCTCTGTCAAACGTCCATTCCTCTGCCTTTCTCTAACTAATAAAGACTCCTGTGATGCATTTATGCCCTACCTGGATATCCAAGATAATGTCCCCATCTCAAGATCCTTAACTTTAATACATCTGCAGAGACTTTATAACAACATTCACAGGTTCCAGGGATTCAGACATGGGTGTCTTTGGGGAGCCACTTTTCAGCCTAGTGAGACTATGCTGAATTACAAGACGTCTAGCAGCATTCTTACTTCTACCAAATAGATGCTGGTAGCAGCCACCACCACGCCAAGAGTTCTGACACCAAAAGTGTCCCAGATAATGCAAAAATCACACCCATGGCTTCTGTAACACCAACGTGACTAGCAAATGACATGTATAAACTAGTTAGAGCTGATTACAAAACAGAACACCAAATTTAAGTATTATCTTTGATTTGGTTCCATTTAGATCTTTTTCTGTGCCTACCACATAACTGTGCACACTTGAAAAGGTCTGTTTTGAGTCTTAACCCTCTCTGAATCTTATATTTTCACTCTCCTATTAAGTCTATATGTGTGAAAAGTACTTCCTTTAGGGTACCTTCTATTTGTTCTCCACCAATGTATCCTTCATGCCTCCATGATATATTAATTCAATGAAAGTAAATCTAAACAATAATCTATGTCTCAAGTTAAATATCAAGATAATATTTATTTAGAAAGCAATATTTAACAGAAGAACATTTTATAAAAGTTGTTTCACTTACTTTTCATTATATCTAGTAACTGTGACAAGCAAGTTCTGTTCTCTTTCAACATCAGACTTTCTGATAAATAACTAGTAAAGAACAGAAAAAAAGTTTTAATCTATTGAACACATACAGCATCTTGAGTAATATGGCATCATAAATTAGTTTCCTCCACATTCATTTCATCAAGGTCAATTTTAAAATTCACTTTAAAAGTATTAAATAACAAAACTTTGAACACAGAACTATAATCTATAACTATTAGTCTTAAGAATTTAATACCACTCAGTTTAAAGGGTGTTTAATGTTAAGACTAATTTGTCTAAATTTTGTAATATATATGCTTTCAGAGAAAAAATGATATCTAAGTAACATTAAAAGTATCGATTATCACTATGGTTAAGTGCTTAATATACAAACCCTATGAATCTAACTTCGTTTGACAGGTGACCAATCTGAGTCAGAGGCACAGACAGGTCATGACTTTGTAACTTGCCCAAAGTTATAAAGATAGGAAGAAGGAGAGCTGGAGCCTGGCACTAGGAAGGCTTCTCTCTCCCCTTAGTATCAAGTGAACTCTTCTTGGTACTAACAGGTATTCAAACCAGTTAAGAATATCAACTTATGCTTTACAAATCTTTTGTATCATATCTGCAAAGAGTCCAAATCAAAAGTGTTAATACTTTTCTATAAGTGGATGTAAAGCCCAATTACCTTTCTCAGAACCAATGACAGCAGCATGAAAATACAATGTCTACATTCAAATATTTAGTTATTCTGAGCTTGATCTAGAATTGATTAAAGCCCAAGTGAACAGATTCTCGAGGTGTAAGCAATCTTTCAAACACAAGTGCAAAATAATTATTAATTCCTCTGAAAAATAGTGACATGAATAAACGGTGAAATACAATTACAACAAAAGAAAGACAATTAAGAAATTTTGTTGCTATCTTTTAAACTATACAGATTACAGGTTATTATGTAAGTCTGACAACTAAGATTGATATTACAACTTCATCATCTATGATGGGAATTAATTTTAGATATAAAAATGCATTTCTGGTTATCAGTAATACTACCAGTTTTTTCCTTTTCCTTTTCTCCCTAAAACCCCTCATACTTTTGGCATCTTCATTTGTTTGGTTTCATTCTTCCTTTCCTTTCCACCCCTTAATCATAAGGGTGATACATTTGGTTCTAAGAGATAGCTGACCAGACCATTTGCTTCTATGAAGCTTTAAATTAGCAACTCGATCTAAATCCTGAATTAGAATTTTAGTATTTTGATGAAAAAAAATTCAGTAAAAGAAGAAAACTCAGAACTAACAAGAGAACATCCTAGGAGTAATAATCTAAAGCATCATTCAGAATATAACAGCACAAGGGCTTTCCCTTTTTGAAACCAGCAATAAATGTAAAGCAAAGTTTCATAAAGTAAAATGAGAACTTAAAAGTGATTTGAAAAATATTTTCAAAAAAAAAAAAAAAAAATGCCCACATGTTTATATTCCCTGGGAAATTCAAAAGTGTATTTAATTTACAAAGAGCCCAAATTACCACAATTTCAGTTTTGGCTATCTGAAATTATAACTACACTTTCAAGGTGACATAAACTCTCATTTGGACTTTAGGATGCTTCATGCCTCTTCATCTACTTGAGGAAAAACAGAAAAATCTCACCATTGGAGAATCTACATATACACTGCATAAGATAGGATGCTTAAACAAATTAATCAAACATTTGGTTAGCGGAATTGTGGAAAAGAGGCTTTCTCCTCTTCGAGGCTGGAAGCTCCACACCTAATCTCCAAAGACATCAATTATCTGTGGCTGTCTTTCCTAACAAGAACAAGGATTTAGAGCTTTGTTCATGTTAACAGCACAGTGCATAGTATATAGGAGGCGCTCAGAAAAAGTTTTGCTTAAACAAGTGGAGGTACAGATTACTTTGGGATTAAATGTTTAGATTTATGCACATTTGGTGAGCTGTGTTTGTGGAGAAGAAGCATAACAAAAACCTAAGCCCACAATCCCTTATCTTGGATTTGTTTTGAAATACATAAACTGTTCATGTTTTGGAAAGGGAACCTGGTGAATACTCCATGAAATGTGAAACAGTCCAGTGATGTCTTTGGAAGGATACCTGTTATCCATGACACTCATATTTGTGTAAGGAAACATATACATACTCCCATTAAGTTGAATAAAGATGAAATCACATCTGTTTATGTCTGCTGCCACCATTATCAACAGATTTTGAAATTATGGATGAGGGGCTTATAAACGTGTAGAACAGTTTACGTTCAGAAAGTCTGATCATCTTTCCTCCTCAGCTTTTTCCAGGAATAAAATCAGGCAGAACTTTAAAGGCCACAGAGAAATTATTATAAAAATTTACAAAGTCTAATTTGCTACTAGCCTGTGCTTAAGTTACAAATCAATATGACAATAATGCTTAATTAATCTGTGCATAAGACTTTGTTGTAAAGAATCAAGTAAACTTAATTCAGGGAAAGTGCTTATCGCAAAGCCGAGTTCACAATGGGCATTTATGTATCAGCTATCTATAGCTCAAGGGCAATTCACTCGGACATTCCCTCAAGTATTATTCATTCCCCAGTTCTTTCCTGAATTCCACATGCCACACACGCTCCACAGCAGGAGATAAATGATAAACCAAGGCAGATTATTTGCTGTGTACATGCTGCTTACCAGTTTACAAAACTTGTCTTATACTGAGAGCTAAGCTTTCAAGGATCACCGGATTTACTTCTACTTTAGTCATAAAATGGATCCTCTTAGCTCTAAGATACTCAATCTTTAAAGATTTCCTGAAAAGGTGATTTCATTTCCATTCTCAGTTGCCTTCACCAACCCTCCCAACCATAGTAGATATAAAGGACTATAGTCACAAAGTGAATTAATTTCACTTAAAAACTCAGTCTCCAAGGAAGGAATAAACTGACTCAGCAAAGTTAAAACACAGATCAGTACCTTTCCATAGTAATTCCTGCTCGAGATGCACTAGATAAAATGGCAGTCAGGGCAATTTGGGAAGGTGTGTATAAAAGGTAAGCATCTGTTAATGCAATTCTATTAAGAAAGTCATCGGCTGTTTTCCTCAACATCTCTGGATTCTCCATCATGGGGTAGCGAGTCTAGAAAGGAAGTTTGTAAATATTATCACTTCTGAGATTTAATGCACTAACAACAGTTCAAAAATAGTTATATTAACAACATAATGCTCAATAGAGGATTCTTTTATTTATGAAATTAACACCCGAGCTTAATCGTTCCATGTAAGATTGTTTTGTATGCAGCGCCAGAATGTACCAAAAGTGCAGTCATTAAATTCTGCATGTTTTAAGAATGTGCTTTTCCTCAGGGGCTTCTACACTTTTTTAATCACAACCCATAACAAGAAATACATGCTTTAAGATAATTTATCTAAACTTCCTAGTATAGTACTTGGCACTATGCCGATTTATGTTAATCCCTCTCTTTGTCCTTTTCCACCTGAAGAGGAAGGGGAAGAGAGGTTTGAAGTTGACCTAGGAAATACACAGTCCAAGGTAAACGCTTCTCAAGGCAAACCAGATGATTCAGCTACAAGGCCTTTTAGGAATCAAAGCACTACCTCATCTTGATTTGAAATTCCTGCTACTTAAAGTTTAGTTTTGGGAAGAAGTCAATGGAAATGGATCTTGGTTTGATTACAGAATGCTTTTTAGAATATGCCCAAGAAATATGGACGATCTAATATTTGCTAAAAACTCTTCTTATACTTAAGATGAACTCTAAATCCTAAATCATCAGGTCTATTTCAAATATCTACATCAAGTCCCAAAGCAGTAAGAAATTTCTTCTATACCCTCAACAAAATATCCAGAGTCATTTGTACCATCACACCCACATCTTACCATTCGGAAATGCCTGACCGCTGGTATGACAAATGAAGACATTCCACTCTGGCCACAGTGCTCCTTTTCCCAATATATTTGCTCAATTACTTCACAGCCATTCTCTGACTTCCTCCCCAGAACCTCTGGTCCCTTATCCTGCTATTTGCTCCTACTCACCACTGGTCCTCATTTCCCTCCAGAATTTCCTGCCCCAATATGCTGTCAACATATGTATACGATACCCCGATTTCTGAGTGTTGCTACAGAAAACAATACCACCAAGAGTCTTGTAATATTACTATAAATTCAAGTTCACTGACTCAGCAGGGCTTTTAACAATTATGTTCCACAGAAAATTTGTTCTCTCATTTTTCAGCAACTGTGTTCAATGTTTTCCACCTGTCTCAATGTCTTTGATAATTTTCTGAAACTCCAACACTCTCTGTAAATGATCTCGGCTTTTAAGAGAGACACTCTTACTTCCTGTCAGCACTAGTCCTCCAGGCGTAACACTGTCCTCAACCCATATTTCCCTCTTTCCGTCTGTTAATATAAAAGACCTACTATTCTCTCAAGGTCAACTCTACTTTGCTTTGAATCCCATGCCAACTACTTCTACCGTACTCCAAAGAGAAACCTGAACTACTTACTTTTCACTCCTTCCTTTAAGCTTTTTCTCACTGCTCACTGTCCTCATCAGTTTCTTCCACAAAGCAAAACACACACAAAAAAAATCGTCTCATATCTTTTTAGGAGTTCCCCCATCTTCTCAATCATTCATCTTTTTCCACTTCAAAGACAAGCTGTTTAATCCATGTTACACCTACTTGCTTGCTCACCTTCTATGTACTCCCCACTGGTTCCAAGCCTGCTTTCTTTCTCCACACTCAACAGAGACTAATTTCACAAAAATCACAAATGGCCCTTCTGGCACTAAATCCAGCCGACACTATCCTTGTTCTTTTACTTTGCCTGAATTCTGAACAGGCCTGGAAAGGAGCCTGTGCTCATCTTCTAAAAGTACTCTTCTTCCCTTCAGTTCTCCAAAAAGTGCTATCTCTCTGAATATTCTTCAGTCTCCTTACTAGCGTCTTATATTTCTCCAACTACTCTTTAAATGGTCCTTAAGGCCAAACCACTTTAAATTTTCCAAGAGCAACACCACCTATATCCATTCTGATTTAGCCTAGCCATCTGCTCTGATCTCCAGACACACGTGATGTCTTGCAGCTATTAAAAGTTATGTCCTCAACTAGATTTATCAACCCCCACCCCTCCACCATCCACAAATCTCTCCTATGCCAGTGTTTCCTATATCAGGAAGCAAACCACCATCTACCTATATCCTTAGGCCATAAGCCTGGGGTTCCTCCTCTGTTCTCAATCTCTATTATGAAATCAATCCCCAAGCTCTAGTGATTCCGCCAGGATTCTGTCCAGGAAGCTCTCTCTGTATCCACTGCCACTATCAGAGTCAAGCCAACCACCATCTTTTGCTGGACTACTTTAACAGTATCTGACTGGTACCCCTTCATCCGTTCTAATCCATTCTCCACACTCTGCCTGACACGTGCATATGTGCAATAAATGTATGATGCAGACTGATGCAAGGGCTTGCCAACAGGACTTTTTTATTAACTGCAAACTTCATCATGCAAATCCCCAGACTTAAGCCTTACAACGGTTTCCCACTGCTCTACTCAAAATCCTTAGTACCACCTCCACGGTAGAGACTCTACCTCCCACTCAGGCAGCACTTTGTGGCAGTCTTCCCCCTCTATCTCTAAGTTCTGTTTAGGTTCTTTAGTGCACCATGGTTTCTTAGATCTGGGCCTTTGACCAAAGAAGTCTTTCTGACTAGGATGTTCTTTTACCTAATTCCTACTCTTGCTCTGAAATTTCACTCTAAATGACACTTTCTTAGAACTGTCTTCCTTTCTCTCAACGTGCTATCTCATTCGAAGGTATCCTGTATTTTTCCATCTGTAACAATGAGCATACTGAATATATGACTGTCTCTCCCATTAGACTCTAAGGCCTCTAATAGTTGAGGGCGTTCCTGTCTTCATCTTCAAGAACAGTGTTTTGGCATATGGAAAGTGCCCAAATTTTGCCACTCAATTGAGATGAATGAACCAGTTTTTTACTTCCATTTTGACTTCACTCCCACTTTTCAAGTCCTCTGTAAGGGCAAAAACAAAATAGCTTAAGTTGCTTTTGCACATGTTTATCTACTTATATTTTTGATGCGTATATATTGATTCAAGTTCACAATGCACTAAAACTAGAAATCACTTAGCAATCTTCTAGTTTAAAATTAAGATTTTTTTGTGGTTCTTTAAATCAGATCCATGACAGTATACTCCAGAGTTAGGAGACTTAAGTTCAAAAGCATTACTCTAAATTGACAATAGTCCTCATTATAGTTCTTTGACCAATATTTGCAGATCTACGAAATAAAAAGCTCTGTAAGTGCAGCCCAACAATCTGAGTTAACAAGCCTTTCAGGTGACACTCAACTTTGAGAACTAATGATGTGGAAGTCCACGCTAAACTCATGTTTCGGATGAGCTCATGTTTTAACAATCAGGATGAATATAAATTATAACAAGATTTCAGATACTTCTGGTTCAAGAACTATAGCAAAGGTGTATACTCTACTAGTTTACCTTTTATATCAGTAAGATTACCTTTAAATCAATGAGAAAGCCCTCAAATGGTCTATAAGGATTGTGGACAATAAGGTGGAAATTCAGTTGTTGTATAAGAAGTAGTTCGTATTCCAAAATCTGTTCGAGTGCCTTCTCCTGTCCAAGAGGACTCTCCCGCAGATTTCCAACAAACTGTGGACTAGATACATTGAATTCATCTACTTTGCAGGCCAAAAATGCACAAGTGAGCCTAGAGGAAAAAACAAAGGGAAGGGAATGGTATCTGTACAAACTTTGAGAAATACCTGAATATTTTATTTCTAAAAATAGGTTCTAAAAATGCATAATAAGCGACTACGCTAAATATGGCAAGAAATTTATTTTAAAAAAAGAGAAAAAGAAAGTTTCCTGTTCAAACTTTTTATCCATTAGGAGACTATAAAATTAGGTTGAACTGTATAATCTTGCCACAGCATTTAACCATTACTGACTACTATTAATGGCAGTTTTGTACAGTTCAACATAAATATCTAGAAAAATAACTGAAGAATAAAAGTACTCTGAATCATGAAATGTAGATGAAACAACACAACAGTACACAGAGGTGTACCTGGGAAGGTAGGTTAAAAGAACACTGGAAGGCCATCAGTGATGTCTCTGAAAGCATTTCAATAGGGATTATTACCTCAGGAACTAACCTATGAAACTCTCATGGCTAGTACCATAAATTTCAGGTAAGAAACTAGTAAACAAATTACCACAAAAATCAAAATTCGAAGTAACAAGGGCCTGACCTAGACTAGTAGAAATGGAAATGAAAAAGACAGAAAATAAACAGGGACAATGTCACTGACAGCAAACTCTTTGATGAGTCTCACGCTAACTTCATCCTTATGTTTAAGGGACCTTTATTAAATTGAAGTGAATATGGAGCTACAAGACTTGTAAACTAACTGATGTACAAAGACAGGAGGTACCACAAAGGATTCTCATTGGAGCAACAGGGAGAAGAAAGGTGCCACTAACAGAAAGAGATATTAGCGAAGTTAGTTTGAGAAAAACAGAATTTAAATTTGGACAAGCTGAAGTTCAGATGACATCAGTATTACAGGGAGAAGGCACTGTAGATACATGACAAGTATAAGGATAGTGGCAATTCAAAACAGAATACAAGTCTAAATTATCATTACAAAGTCATTTTTTCCACAAATAGTATAAAAGACTTCTTAAATGAAAATCAATAAAGTAGAATTATACTCACATTATTATCCGGGGGTGATATTCCATTACTGAATTATTAAGATAAAAACGCTTGAAATACATACAAGCTGTACCCTAAGATTAAAAATACATACATTATCAGAATCCACTCACACATACATGTTGTTTCATTAAAAGTTTTAAAAAATTTACTTATGCAAAGGTTTCTTTAAAAAAGTTACCCATGCAGAGGCGCCTGGGTGGCTCAGCCAGTTAAGCCTGACTGCAGCTGAGGTCATGATCTCACAATTTGTGAGTTCGAGCCCCGCATCGGACTCTGTGCTGACAGCTCGGAGGCTGGAGCCTGCTTTGGATTCTGTGTCTCCCTCTGTCTGCCCTGCCCCAACTCATGCTCTCTCAAAAATAAATAAATGTTAAAAAAAAAAAAAAAAAGTTACCCATACAAAATACCAAAACTTCTTAATTCTTCTTTAATCCTATAAATTGTGAGAATTACTATAGAAATGCCACAGCGAAAAGACCCTTTGTTGTTCCTCCTCACACACCCTGGGTTATCTTTCCTATGGGCACTAACTTAATTTCAAAAAGTCTGTATTTATTATTTTTTTAAGTTTATTTATTTTGAGAGAGAGAGAGAATGAGACTGAGATGAGACAGTGCACGCACAAGCAGGGGAGGGACAGAAACAGAATCCCAAGCAGGGTCTGCATTGTCAGCGTGGAGTCCGATGTGTGGCTCGAACTCACGAACCGTGAGATTATGACCTGAGCTGAAATCAAGACTCGGACACCTGACTGAGTCACCCAGGCACCCTGTGTGTATTTATTTTAGACTTGAGAATAACAAAGCCACCTAGGTTAGAAGAAACCAAGAAAAACACACAAATATTCACAGCTTAAATCAGTCAATCTTGTCAAAACATTGACAGAATTAACACAGTTGGGGCAATAAACCTTCTCTCTAAATCCACTCTGGGTCTGTGTGATAGATTCATGATCATGTTGCCAAACTAAACAGAAGAGGCACCTACCAATTATTGACCATATCCCATTTCCCAGACTCTGTGCCAAGCACCAATCTATTATCTTTTTTATTCCTTACAACAGCTTGGTGAAGTATTGCCATCTCCACTTTATAGAAAAGGAAAATGACTACCAGTGAGGTTAATGGTCTTGTACCAGGTCACACATCCGATGAGCAATAGGGGTGGATTCACCTAAGACCTGCCTGTACTTTTAACCACTATGCAATTCGGCTAGAACCAACAAGATAAAAACTTATCTATTTTTAGATAGGAAAAAAAAAACAAAAAACAAAAAAAATTTTCTTTTAAATATTTTAAAAGTTTAACTTTGTCGTTTTATGTGAAACAACAATAAAACTTATCAGTCATAAAAAAGCACGTTATACAAAGACAAATTCCACAAATAAGTTTATTCAAGAATTCAGTTTCTTCATCTGAAAAGATCCCATAAACCTACTGCCTTATGTTATAGCACTTTTATCAGAAAATAACAGAACCAAATCTGGAGACAGAAACCAATCAAGGCCATCTGATATTCTTCATAAATCTTTTATCTCTCAGATAAAGATCAGGTGAACTTAAAAAAAAATACCAAAAAACAAAAAAACATCACGAGTACTTTTGAACTTGGTATTTCCAATATACTTCAATTTATATTCAACTTTGAAAATGGAGACTATTTCCGGGACACTTTGAGTAGCTCAGTTGGTTAAGCATCCAACTTTTGATTTCATGGTTCATGAGATGGAGCCCCGTGTCCAATGTGCTGTCAGCACAGAGCCTGCTTGGGATTCTGTCTCTCCCCCTCTTTTTGCCCCTCATTCGCTCGCAAGCTTTCTCTCAAAATAAATAAATATTAAAAAATAAAAAAGATTATTTCCTGGGAGGTTATTCTGTATTGAGTCATAAGTTATTCACTCTATATAACTTTGAAACTTAAGATAGACTTTCACTCAAGACAGACTTTCATATTTGATCTTCACAACAAACTGGCAAGAGAATTATGAAAAAATATTTTATACTCCTTTTTTCTTTCAGCTTTTCAACCTCAGCTGATGTTCAATAAACAAGAATACATTCTAAAGGAACAATTACAAGGACAGTGCATGTAAATCCATATAGCCAAAAAGTCTGAACTACTTGTTTCTCACCATTACCATACCACAGTGAACACACACACACGCGCACACACACACGGAGTTCTTAGAACCAGACATCGGAAACAACCACAAGACAATTTTTTACCAAAAGATAAATCTCCAGCTTCTCCTAATCAAGGCTTAACAACTTCTTATGGCATGAGTTTTAGCCGGTGCATCTGATTACAAATGATGAACGAATGCATTATTTCAAACGTGTGACAGACTTAAAAAGGCACTAGTCTGTGTTCTACTCCCAGCTCTATTGCTCGTTAGTTGAGAACCTGGAAAATTATTTAATCTTTTCTTTCTCTCTAAGATGAGGATGTCGTGACCTGTCTAGCAGATCTCAAAATTCTTCCAACAATGAAATGAGACCTGAAATACTTTGTAAGAAACAATACAGAAATTCCTAAATTAAGGAGTTTATCAAAAAATAACACAGAGTGACAGAAATGTGAATACATAAATTACATATTTATAAAACTAAGGTGCATTTCTGACTACAGCGGATGGAGAACTGAGTTACACATTTAGAAGAGTCCTGATTACAGAAGTCAGCTAAAGGACATTATACTTCATCAGTATCATAACTTACCACAACAGACCGTGGCATTGCTGGCTTAAACACTGAACAGAATTCTAATAATCTCTTCTCATAGTATTTGCAGAGCATCATTTCTTCGTGAGGCTCAAGAAAGACTGGATCATTTGGAAGAACCTTTAGATCAAAAGTTACAGCGAAAGTTCAACGAATTCAATAATCTTAAAATACTATTCTCTATCCAGATTAAATTTAGTTTTCATCTTCAACCAAAGGGAAATATACCACGTCACTGTTTTTCTTTATAGAGCTACCAATTATTCCACAAAATAGCTTTAGTAAAATATTCGATAAACTGAACTATACCATCATTTCACAATTTTTCAGAATGTCAGCTGGATAGTTGCTTCTTCAGAGAAAAAAGAATGATGAGTGTGTGTGTGCATATGCTCACAAGTTTGACATCAATTACAAATCAAAAAGAAGATACACACTGTCATTGGCTGGAGAGCTCTCAACGTCCCTTTCTCAGTCATTAAGTCACACAGTTGAGGTAAAAATCAGTAAGTGTCTCAAGGACGATTCTCACCCTTAAAACATTTCCTCCTAACTGTCTTTATACACTCTTCTACAGAATACACTAGATGGTTAATAATATAACACTTTTACAACAAATATCCACTAGGTAGTGTTATTGGTTTAATTATGACTACCAAAAAAGGGTATGTTGAAGTCCTAACCCCCCAGTACCTCAGAATGTGACCTTATCTGGAAACGTTCTCTGCAGATGTAATTAGTTAAGACGAGGTCATACTGAAGCACAGTGGGCTCCTAATCGGATACGACTGGTATCCTCATAAAAAGAACATGCCAAGATACAGATACAGAACACTATGTAGAGAGAGACAGAAAGCGAAGTTACATTGTCACAAGCAAAGGAATACCTAGGATTATCAGAAGCTGCAAGAGCAAAGATCCTGCCCCAGAGACCTACAGACAGCATGGTCTGACAACTTTATCCCAGACTTCTAGCCTCCAGAACTGTGAAACAATAAACTTCTGTTGTTTTAAGCCACCCAGTTTGTGCTAATTTTTTAGGGTAGCCCTAGGAAACTATCACAGATTCTAATTTTACAGAGGTAGTATGGCATTGTGGTTTAGAGCAGAAATTCCGGAACTAGACTCCTTGGGTTCAAATCTTGGCTCTGCCACAATGTAGCCCTGAAAAGTCACTCAACCACTCTATACTTCAGTTTCCTCAGCTGGAAAGCAAGGATAATAGCAGTATCCACTTCACGGGATAGTTATGAGGATTACAGGAACTCACTAAATGCTGAGAATAGTGCCTGGTACATACACAGCGTGGTATGTACTACTTTGCATAGTACAAAAATTAAGCAGTATGAATCAGAAGTGAATTAAACGGAAAAGTACCTGAGTACCAAAAGGTCTGAAACATGGAATATTTTATGGAGGAAAGCTTGTACTAGAATAGGTGGTGCAATTTATGAAAAAAGATTAAACCGGCGTGAGTTATAAGAGAAAGGATTTGGCTGGCAGGCTCAAAGTCTAAACCATCCTCAATTGGTTTGTGCTAACCCGTCTCCTGTTTCCCCGCGTCCACCCTGCCCCCGAACCCGCCCAATACATTCACCACCAGGTTTCCTGAGGTCTCTTTCTACAACAGAATCTGAAAAGTTAATTCCCCGTTTAAATTTTCAAAGGTTCCCCATCTCATCATCATAAACTCAAACTCCTCACTTCAGCTGGCAAGTTTCTGCACCTGTTCAGACCTTCCGCGACACAGGACCCTGAGCATGCCAAGGCCCCGTCCGGCAACTTTCGACCTCCCACTTTGCACCTGTGGCTCTGTCCGCGCGGAACTTCCTTTCCCATCTTCTCTGCATTAACTACTGGGGAAAGCCTTCCCTGACATGGCCTCCTAACAAACGAAAGGCTCTGCTCCCGCACTACGTTAGCTTCCTACAAAGACCTTCCTTCGCCATGTTACTGATTACTCACCTGCCATTCGACTACATTAAGGGCGTAGTTCGTATTCTCAGCCTAAACACTTGGCAAGGTACCGTCCGTTCGTGAAATAAACGCCCCGCGCGCCAGAGACGAACGGGCGGGGGAGGGGACAGAGGTGTGCAGGGGCCCCAGGGAAGGCAGGGTGGACAAGGGAGGGCGGGCAGCAGCTGCTCAAGAGTTTAGAAGCGAGGGCAGGGGACCGGCCGCCGGGATCCTCACCTTCCCGTTGGCGACCGCTTTGCATTTGAATTTACGGTTGGCGTCCGCCCGCAGTCGTGCTAGCTGCTCCTCACTGGCGAAAGTCCAGTGCCGCTTCTGGCTACTGTTGTGGTACATCGTGAAATCCCAGAGCAGGGCCAGGAAGTCTGGAGAAAAAGACCCCAAACGCCACAACACGGGGATGGGAGATCACCTAAGCCCCGACCACTAACCCGCCGAAGCCGAGCGCTTCAGTTCGGCGGGCGCCGGCGCGTTGACGTTACGATCACGTGGTACCTCCGTCCGCAGTCGCGTTTCCGGAGCGGACTAAGAGGAGAACACCCCGCGGGTCCCGCCGGCGGGCGCCTGACAGACAAGTGGGCGGAGCCTACGGATACGCTCCTCCTATCTGTGAGCTTAGCCTCTAAGCTCCGCCCCTTCCCGACAAAATTTAAAGGAGAAGCGACAGGCGGGTGTGGAAAACCAGACGGAAGTTCCATGTAGAGGCCAACATGAACAATTCACAGGGGGAATAAGTGGACAAAGGGACCCGGGAAAGTGTCAACTTTTAAATAGGGTACATGAGGAGGTGACATCTGAGCAAAGACTTGAAAGACTTGAGGGAGTATGCCTATCCGTCACGCGGGGGATGATCTTGAGGCAGATAGAACAAAGTCCTAAGGCAGCAGCGTTCCTGAGTCTTAAAAAAGGCTGTGCCAGGAACATTACAAAAAAACGGCCTCAGAGAGCATGAAACATGGTTGAAAAGCTACAAGCGGTGCATATATATTGTTCCTTACTGTTCTGCCACTGATGTGACCCTGTCCTTTTCCTGTGATCGTTTCCTTCCCCATCTGTTGATTACTAGCCAGTCTCATCCCGTTTCCGTATCAGAAGCACTATGTATGGTACTTTTAGGATTTTCTTGAATTCATCTTCATTACTGCCCCAAGGGAGCCTTACAGTAAACTATTGGTAATGTTTAAGAGATTTGCAATTTTTATTACTAGTATTTTAAAAATTGCATTTGTGATACAAAATCTATATGGATTCTAAAAGCCTTTACTGGTTTAGATATTTGTCCCATTTAGGCATACTTTATTCTGTGCATCACACATCAGGTTAGGAAGATGGATGTACTTGCAGCAAATAATTTTTCTAAAAACAAAAGGCAGATAAAGAGAGTTTAGGTCTTGAAATTTTACATAGGCAAAAGGAGGTGGCAAGATATCCAGAAATCTGCTTTTTATGAAATTGTTTTTAGAGGCTTAAGGGAGAGCTTTTTTGTTTCATTTTGGTAGATGCAATTGACGGTAGAGTTTGCTAGAGTTATTTGAATTCCTCACACTTGAATAGTTGTAGTTTATCACTTTGGAAATCCAAACACTCCTTGAACATATGTTGGTGATTTGGACTAGCAAATTGGCTAAGAAAAGAGAAAGGAGAGAATGTGCTGATGTTAAGGAAGGGCATGGCAAGTTACGAGTCCAGTGGACTGTAAGCACCCTAAAATACTGTGTAATGGGGAAGAATAATTTTAAAGGAAAAACAGCAAGTTGCAAAAGATAGGCAGGAAGTGAGGAAATGAGTATATATATGTATAAAATTTTAGAACAATGACAGTTATGTATACTATGTCAATTCTTTTTATTTTGTTTTACTGAAAGGCATTTGACAACTCCTTTAGTTTTATGTAAAAGGAAATAGAGATCGACATTTTAGAGAGATGGAAGAATAGGATTCCCACAGAATGAAAGTAAAATTGCTCACTGTCATAGTTCATCAAGAAGACAAATATGAAAAACCCGGTGTTGAAAATATAACTATTTTTTTTAACCTGTAACAAATCTTATCTAGCAAAATTAACACCATAGTTTTGGGATGTAGAAAGGTATCTAGATTAACCAGCTACAGAATAAAGTTGTTACTGATGATGCCCTAACATTAAGGCTCATATATGATTTCTTCTTATTAAGGTGACCAGGCTGGATGCAACATTAATCACTATATCTGAGTGACATTCCCCTGTTCAGCTTATTGAATATAAGTTTATTGCTATTTCTATGGTGGAAGGCAGACTGTGGACTTAGAACTTGGTGCCTTTACCTAGTTCCATTTAAATTCCTACTAAAAAGTAGCAAGTGTTTCTCTCCATGCCTTTTATTTTACTTATGGGAAAGTTTAAAGAATAGAGAGAAATGAATTTCAAAATTATCAATACATGGTCACTTCTCCTCCACTTCCCACCCCAGCCTCATTACTTTAACATCACAATTTCCCCAACACTGGATGGAGATTCAAAACTTGAAAACAAACATCATTTCAATAGGCACTATCCAGAAGTGAATGTTAACAGGAAAGATTACAGTGATTTTTTAAGTAAACACAATCTCTTTTATTGTCCTACAGTTGTTAAATTGTGTTACAGTATGTATTTGTTGACAAACTCTAAGTATTTTGACGGCATGCATTACCTCAAAACGAAGGACTGAATCTGAGATCAGGCGATGCAAAACAGGTATCATCCGTTGGTCATGGTGGAAAGGCTCTATACTTGAGCCACATGCAATGCCAAAGTTTCTCATGACAGTATTAGGAATTTCTCTTATTTTCTTACAAGGTAATTTTCCCTCTTCTTCAGCTCTGCCCTAGTGTTCTTAATGTTTTGGGAAAAATAAGGAATATCAAGCTGCTTGATCCTATGAGTAAAGGAAGAAAAGGGAAATTGGAAGGGTGAGGGAGTGCCCGAAGAATATATGTGGAACTTGGAATAATTTTGTGGTCCAGCAAAACATTAAGTGGGCTAATTAGCTTACAGTTATTTCCCAAACACACTAGTATAGCCATATCCACATAGTTTCTGATTTTAGGGCCTTAAAGAAAAAAAAAATTAAAGCTGGGAGGAAGAATAAGGCATATCTATGCTCACAGAAACACACAATATCCTTCTTCCTTTAAAATCTGACATGCAACTGTACCCCCCCTTAAGCTATTGACATGGGTGTCTGACATTCTAAATATAACTTGGCAATGATATTCAAAAACAGGCTCTTTGCAAATATATTTGATATATGCAATTAGCATTAGCTCTAAAATCCTTTCGTAGTTTTTTCTTTCAGTTTTCAAGTTATGACTAAAAGAGAAAAGGAGCTGCTTGCAGTTAATACCGAGTTTCTCCAAAGTCTAAGACTAAAGTACAAGAAAAAGAATAAACAACATCTAAAAAATATCCTTGGTCTAAATGTAACCCCCAAAATTGAAACACTTTTTCTTTCATTTTAGGGCTATTTAAAATTAAAGAGGCTAGACAACACAATGGGGAGCAAACTCTATAAATCCGTACCCAATTCAGCATCTTCCTAAATCATCACTATACTCAGAGCCTAGTACTAATTGTTAGGTGGTGGTGATGATGGTGATAGAGATTAAAAAATGGAGTATTTCACGGTCCCTATCTCAGGATTCTTGGACTATAGTAGAATGACTATGACATACACAAATACAGTCTCCTCACAATGACATGAACCTTGGGTAGGGCTCAACAGGGAGTGGGGTAGTAAGATTTCTTAACCCTAAGTGCTGATACCTGGTACTAATGTAGACAAGACTTTTATGTGGTTTGAAACCAATTGAAAACCCAGAGCCTACTTCATTCAACCCTTGCTAGCCATGGTTCATTCCACAGGCTTAGTGTCTCTTCGGATAGAGTTAGGTGGTCAAAATGAAGGTGATTCCTGTGTTGTTGTCGTTTTGATAACTGTTAACCACCCCCTTCCCCAAAACAGTTGGGCTTAGTTCTCTTGAGACCATATTTGGAAGTGATTTGTTACAACTTTATTCTTTGTCCATATCCATTAATCAATAGTGAGTACATCTATTACATAGAGTACCACATAATCATTTCCACGATTGTATAGCAGTTTAACAGGGTGGAAAGATTTCACTTGTGACTCACCAAATTCTAGTATTTCCAGTTTTACTACTTGCTACTGAGTATTCTTGGGAAAGTCACTTTAATCTATTTTATCCTTAGTTTCATCTTTTGGACAGTGAAGGAAATAGTTCAATAATTCAACCTACAAATAATTCAATAAATGTTAGTTATTACCTAATGGATACCTAGAACAAGCTAATTGGAGGCTATAACACTTATGTGAATTTGGTTTTGTTATTGATATTGAAGGAGGCATCACTCCAGGTACATGGGATCTGCTTGGGCAAAGTAGAGGGGAACAAATTACAAGGTGTATCTGGAGACAGAAAAGAACATAGCTCGGATGGAGAATAAGGTGAATTAATTGAGACATGAATTAGTAAGAAGATTAGCAGAGGGTGTTGAATGTGAAGCCAAGTAATTTGTATGTAATAATGTTAAAATTTTTGAGTGGGGGAGAAAAATAATCAGAATGGCATTACTTTAATCTGGAAATTATTTGTGATTGTTTTAATAATGAAGACTTTATAAAATCCACATTAAAATAGGACAAGAGGGTCAATTCTAATGGTGAGGCCCAAATGTCCACTCTTTGAATAGCTATATAAGATTCAGAAATATAAAATTAAATTCCTCACCATGTTCCCAGATAGATATCATGTGTGTCATACATATCATATAACATATGATATATGCTATATGAAATGGGATACATTTGTATAATACGTTTTTGTGTGTAATTCTGGAGTGAGACCTGGGAGTCTGTAGTTTTAAAAATCTTAGGTTCTTCTGATAATTAGCATTACGTTTGGAAGTTTTTGCAAATGTAAAAAATATAGAACTTGGCAAGGCCCTACAGGTTGGATGGGTGGTAGGTTGAAAGACAAGCAGCAACTCTAAAATAGGGACTTTCAAATATGAATGAATCTAACAGTCACTTGGCAGCTTGTTAAATGTAAATCAGAAATTCCCATTCAATACATCTAGAGTGGAGCCCCAAGAATCTGCATTGTTACATTGAGTTACCTTGAGTTCGGTGGTTTTCAAACTTTAATGTTCAACATACCCAGTTAGAGAGCTTGTTAAAACACAAATTGTTGGGCCCTACCACCCAGTCTTGAGTAGGACCAAGAATTAACATTTCTAACTAGTTCCCAGGTGATGCTGGGAACTTGGACTATACTTTGAGAACTACTATTCCTGTTACATCAGTGCAGGTGATTTTTAAAATTTTTTTTATTATTTTTATTTTTAAAAAAATATTCATTTTTGAGAGAGAGAAAGAGAGCGAGTGAGCGAACACACGAGCAGGG